TCTGAAAAAAAAAGGTTTAAGCTTTGAAGCAAAAAAAAAAAAAAAAAAAAAAAAGGAGGAGGAGAAGAAGAAGGGTTTGAGAAATTGAGAGAAGGAGGGAAGAAGAAGAGGGGTAGCACACCCCTAAGATATCGTGGTATAAAAAGACGGACTCCTAGCGTTGGTGAATCCAGTCGTGTAAGACTTTCTGAATCATTTGTTGTTAACGATGCTAAACAATCCGGAACAACATTACACTTTCTATAGTCATGACTAAGACTAAAATCCGATTTCTATGACCTTAGTCAATCGTATAATTACGCTTTGTCCTTTTTCCCCTCTTAGTAACTTGGTTGGAGAATTTTAGTGAGCTTAGTGGGCTTACAATTTGCCCGTGTAAATGATTCAGAAATTTTTTTGAAAGAGTTTGGGCTCTCTAGCAATGGCCTTATTTGTGCTGTATTGTTGTCAGCTTGTTCAATAATAATTATAGAATTAAGTGAACATAATAATATTAAAAAAATAAAAATGATGAAAATGAAACAAATTGAGGGAGAAAAGATAAACAATGGAGAAGAGTTCATATAAAGGAAAAAAAAGATTTCAAATACATAATAAAGATGAATCAGGGAAGAAGAAGATCGACAGGGAGAAAAAATTCAAGTTAATCGATAATTCCACAACTAATAATTACATACCTGATACACTACAACCTGACCCCTTCAACTTTATTTTTAATTTTCTTTGACCCTGAAAGCATGATCGTTATGTCCTATCGAAAGGATTCATTGTGTTTAATTTATTTTGTTAAAACAATACCAAAAAAAAAAAAAAAAACTAATGAAGTAGACTGCTAGTGTATGAGATGAAAATAATAACATTATATCGATACACGTTGCTCTCTTTATCCAAAAAAAAAAGAGAGCCTATGTTGTAAATTGTTAACTGTACTTCTTTTAATATATAATTTATAAAACACAGTGTACTGTTAGTCTGAGATAGAGTGAGTATTACTTTACTAGTCTATTATATTCAGCAGAAGAATTATTTGATAGTCTTGAGAAGAAAATATCTTTGTTTTTACCATTACATTATACTTTTACTCCTTTTAATTCAAAATAATATACTCTAACATCTTGAGAATTCATTATTTTAGAAAAATTTAAATATGTATTTTCTTGTGTGAAATTTAGAAGAAAAAAAAAGTGAAATATGCATTTCTTTTGTTGATGTCTAAGTTTGTTTTTCGACCAAATTATGGACTAATGATGGGATATTAAAAAGAAATATAAACTAATAATCTTGCACTCTCTCAGTTTAGAAAAGTGTCTAGTTTGATTTTCATACTTTGTACAAATTCAAATGAAAATCTAAAATGGACAGGCAAATTTTTTCAATAGCCTAAACTGTTTATTTTATAACATTGTAGTTATGTTTAAATCAAAAGTCTTCAAGTTCTCAAATAAAAATAAGAATAATAGTTTAATCTCACTCACTTATAAGTTTCAATATTTTTAATAATAGAATCTCTTATTTCCCGTCCCAAAATTATTGTCAAGTTAGAATTTTTACTTTTATTATGATTTGAACTAGAATAAACATTGAAACTGAACAATCATTTTAGACGGAGAAAGTATTTTTTTTTAAATACAGACTTCAAAAAACTTAATACTCTCCATAACTAAACAACTTATTAATATTAATAAGGAAAAATCCAAATTAAACAAAATTATTTCACGATGAACAGAATAAATTTTTTAACTAGCCTAAACTGTTTCGTTTGCGACAGAGCATAGGCCATATGATTGAATCAAATTCGATTAAAGTCCAAGTTGTAAAACCATGTAAAAGTGGTTTCTTAGTGATCAAAGTACCTACACACTTTGTTTTAGTAATAATCAGAACTAGATGCTTAGCCCGGGCGATGCCCGGTCGATCCCTTGTCTTTTTTCTTTCTGTTATTAATAAATACTAGATGTTAAACCTGCGCGATACGGGAGGTTTATTTATATACATTATAAAAAATCAACAAAAAAATATAAAAAGTGTAAAATATATTTGGAGTTCATATTAAGATACATTACACAACTAAAATTAAATAAAGGCGTAATTGTAAAGATAAAATAATGCATATCATTTGAAATGCAAGTGTTCCTTGATTTTTATTGGAGGAGAAGAGCTGGACAATAACACTCATAAGCAGAGTAAAATGAATAAGATTGTAATAATGTTACATATTGAATGAAAAGATAAAATGATTATACGCGTAAAATACATAATGAAGTAATTATTAATAGTAGATGATAGATTAGTGTGACTAAAGTATGAAGTTTAAAAATTTTTATGGTTATTTTATTATAATTAAAGATTTTATGGTACTGTTTGGCCCAATACTTAATATTTTAGAGGAACAGACTAACTGTAGAGTTAAAATTTTTGCCCTTTAATCCCTTTTTGCTATGGCAATAGAAAATAATAATTAATGAAATTATGGGTTAAAAAAACATAAATTTAGTAACGTCTAAAAAAGAACCTTAAAACATCATTTTGCAGAAGAACATACGGAAAAAAAAATCATATATAACCTTAATTAACCATTACCTCCCATGCCACACGATCGACCCACTATTAGTTCATCGCTTTCAGAACAACAAACCAACTGTAGGGCTAAAGTTTTTGCCCTTTCATCTTTGGATTTCGGGTTGTTTTGGGGAGGGAGAAATTTTTGCAGTACTGAAACATACTCATGGTTTGTGTAACATGTATCAATAGTGATAAATTGAGATTGATGATAATTGATTATCCAAAATTTCAGTGATAAAGATAAAATTTATAATAATTTTTGAGATATTATTAAGGAAAGATGATATTCATTTGGGTAGATATGATATTATACAAATAAATGCATTGGTTTGAAATTCAAAAGATAACATTTAATTATAGTTAAATCCCATCCTTTTAGTAATAATTGAAGGCAAGTTTGTACCTTTTTTTTTCTTTTTTATTGGTGAAAAATACAGGGTCATGTTTTTGGGAGAAGATTTTAAAGATAACATTAATGTTGAATGATTGGTATTTTTTTTTTGGGAAAATTATGATTAAGGGCATGAGAACATTTTAATTTATTATAAAGGGCATGGATTTTTTTACTACTATTCAAATACTTTGGCAATATTTTCACTTTGTAAAAGACTATGATGCCCATCATCCCTTTCACTTCATTCCAACCAATTTTTCTCTTCCCAAATCTCTACCGACTCCTCTTCGCCAAATGCTTACAAGTCACATGTTTACCAATTTATTTCCTTATTTTGCTTTTTTTCTCGGTACGATCAACTGCAAAACTATAATTCTCTTATTTGGTTATTTTTCGCAAATCAATTGAGTTGAAATTTTGAGACCATGTCAAGTTGATAATCATCGTTGGAGAATAATTTTGATCTTAATATATATAATCCAATTTCATTAAGATTGTTTTGGTAGAACCAATGGCAGTCGTAATTGCCACTTGTAATATATGGTTTGTCACTTATATCAGAGATTAAGTTCTTATTCTAATTAATCATATGATAGATTTATTTTTTTTAAAAAAAGATTAACACGGATTAGACTTATGTAAAATGAAATTAATAGGAACTCAAAGTACTGGGTAACAATTAGAAATGTAGAAATACTGGAATCTGGAATGTTGGACTCATGAAAATCAGTTTTGGTTTCACGACTAGAATGGGTGTTGAAAATGTCAAGTAATTAAGGATAAAATTGTCATTTGAAGTGTGATGAAAAAATAAAATAACGTGATAATGATAAAAAATAACTAATGCCCTTTATAATAATTTGTATCTTTCTTATGCTCTTTATAGAAATTCTCCCCTTTTTTTTTTGAATTATAGTCTATTGATTTACATGACTGGGAGGGAGATTTTTTTTTTAGAGAGATTAATTAAATGAGTCCAGTAGTAACTTTGAGAATTCTTTTGAGGAGTGAATAATTCTGATGCATTAATGTTCATTAATCCCGTCCATTAAATTTAATTAATTTTTATTTTCCTATTTTAAACTATAATTTTAAATGCCATTTGATATAACTTTATTTTAATAAAATTTGAAGGACTATTAGTATAATTGTTGTAAATATTTTTTGACTCAACCATTAAAAAAATGACACATAGGATTTTATCCTATGTGGCACTTTTAGATTTTTGTTTTCTCTCTCTGGTTTCTCTCTTAGTATAATATATACTATAGATACAAAAATATATTATACCATAAGAAAGAATATTTTTGTAACTTAAGAATTTATATGAAAAGGTAGGGGTTTATTTTGTGACAGCGTAGTTATGTTTAAATCAAATTGTATTAAAAGTGGAATCTCAAATTGCACAATAATTTTGAGACAGAGGGAATACATGTATGTGGGAACAACAAAATCGTCTCGAAAAGGACCAGGAAATAAGAGGGGATCTCTATTCATAGTATAATATCGAAAACACGGGCTGGGATCGACTTAGGATTTAAGCATCAATTTAGGGGGAGAAACAGAAGAATCGGGGATGAGAATCAATTTAATTAGGGTTTGTTGGAGTTCAGAAATTTGGGGAAGAAAGAACAGTTCAATACAATCATCAAATGATAATTATTATTGATAATTACTAACAAATCTCGGAATTACTTATTTTATCCATTCTAGACCCTCGGGTATATGACAACGGATGAGTGTGAACTTTATCTTTTCGGACCAAAGTCCAGAATTATTACACACCCAAAAAGTGACAAAATCAAAATTGTATAGCAGTGATACAAACCAAGAAGGCCATATATATTTAAACGATTTTGTCGAAATCTTAAAAGCAATAATTTGAATCCGATTACTGCTACAGGATCATCCAGGAGGGAGTTAATACCTTTCAAAGGAAAAAAAAGGTCAATTTAAGAAAACGGGGTAGATGTGAATCTTCTTTCTTCCCCTTAAAAATTTGACAATTAATCACAACAAACATAAAATAAAAATAAATAGCAGTATCTGGCAAAGACTACATTTTGAGTTTTGACTGCTAATACGTTAAGGGGATAGATTTGGTCAACGTCGTGGTTTGACTTGTTATACAACCAAAAACAGCTGCCGCTAGAAATGTTTACACAACTAAGCTAACGGCAAAGAAAGATAAAACTTCCCGACCACAACCTCGGAGATCCTCGATTTTCTATTCCGTCATCGGAAGCTTCGAATCTTAGTTGCCGTCGGGCTACCGGTTTCCCTTTCATCACTTTTCGTAATTTCCAGTTTTCCCCTTCCCTCAGCCACAATCTTTTTTTAATTATTGACCGGAAACCTTCTTTTTTCTCATGTAATGCCGTTCGGCCAAATTTGACCCAATACAACTGTTGCACGATGAAATTCTGTTTGAAGAATCTCCTGATATGGGTTTGTCTTACTGTTTTGATCTCCGGTTTGGCGAGCGATTCTTTGAACGCCGACAGGAGTATAATTGGGCAAAGTTTCAAATTTGGAGCCAACAATCAAGCCGGGCCCAGGCGGGCGTTATTATCTGATTCAAGGTTTGTATTTTGGTTCCGATTCTTTGTAAAAGTAGTATAGTTAATTTATTATTTGCGGGGCATCTCCCAAATCCCAGAGGTTTTATGCATAGGGTTTATTGCATTTGGCCTTATAATAATTCGGTAACGGCAATCTTCTTCTGCTGTAAAATCTGACACGGCAATGGCAATTGTTTTTTTTTTTTTTGGCTTTGTAGTCTTTTGCATGTTTATTGTGCTTTAATTAGTTGAACAAGTGATGAAATGCTTTTTAAACATCTGGAATTAGACTTCTTATTGTGTAATCTGTACAATCAGGGAATCTGAGACTGCACTAGTTGCTGCTCTTGATGGGACCATCTTATTGTTGGAGCTTGATTCGATGAAGCCGCTCTGGTCATTTGCATCAGGATCAGCTATATACTCTTCTTATCAAGCTCCTGTCAGTGAAGATAATGAGAACGCATCCAGGGCGGGAAGCGACTACTACATAGATTGTGGAGACGACTGGGAATTATATGCTCATAGCAGGCTCGGCAAATTGGTATGTTAACACCGCAATAAGTAGCGATAACTCAATCTCATTTCTCAATGATTAAAACAATTTCTAGTTTGTGTGAGATATGAAGATGAGATAGTTGCTCTGAAAATTGATTGTTCTGGTTTGTTGACTAAAGTTTGCAGATTTCTCTGCTTGAGAACTATAACAATGCGTACAATGATTTGCAAATTCCTTGATACAAAATTGTGAATATTCTTCGCCTAAGTCTTTCCCAATCTCAAATTATTCTATGACAGTAACTTCTCTGAAATTATGTTTCGTCTCTTCTTTGACTGGCCGTCATGATGGTATAAAGAGCCTTCTGTGTGAATCTGCTTCATTGCATGTAACATCTGACTTGAAAGTGGTGTTTGGGCCCTAATGAATTTTGAAATGAAGAAAAATATGATACTGTTTGGTGCTGATGCAAGACCACAACTAATTTAGTTGGTAAGAATGCTTTTATGAGATTTTTATACACTTGTAGGATGTTACCCATTACGAAGTTGTATCATCGTGTTAGTATTATTTGTCCTGTTACTTTTACTCATCTTTGCTCTGTGTGTATTCCGTGTATCCGATTGTCTCGCTTTTGTGATCTTTGTACTGCAAAGTCTAGTCTAACTGGGAGGTGGGACGATGATTGTGCTGGGTAGTACGGGTGGGGGATCGAAACCATATGTTCACAGCTCCAACTTAGGTGGGTGGAAACCACACTCCCTCAACACAACATGCACACACGAAGTTTTAATTAATCTAAACAGGAAGTTAGTTGATCTTGTGTTACTTTTGTTTATCCCAAGAATGGCATTGGAATATGTTAGTAAATTGCTATTTTACTTCTGATAATTCCTGATATCCTACTTTATTTTAACATTTTTCATAGCTCATGTGTTCAAAGTTCAAATCAGTTCTCTCTCTCTCTCTCTCTCTCTCTAGCTGTTGGTCATTGACTCTATATATTGTGATTGGGTTTCAGAAACTAACAAAAACTCTTGAAGAGTATGTCAGTTCAACTCCCCAGATAGCTGAGGATGGAGGAATTGTACTCGGTTCTAAGAAGACCACTGCATATCTTGTAGATGCCAAGACTGGCAGGCTAATCTACACATACCGAATGCCTGACTCTTCAATCATGACAGAAGACAACAGTGAGAATACTGTGTTCTTTAACAACACCTTTGAAGAATTTGGATTTTCCCAAGCTGCTGACCCCAAGGCCGACGAGCTTCCTCTTTACATCACTCGAACAGATTATGCATTGACATCTTTCGCTCCAAACTCGAATAAAGTTCTCTGGAACGTGACAGTGGCTGAAGTAGGTGCTGCTTTTCTCTGTCAAGAATCTGATAATTCATATGATGGAGCCATTTTGGATTCAGGATCTTCTGCACCTGATTTTAAAATGCCTTTACCATGCCAGTCTAGAGCTTTGGTCTTCCGCTTCCGCAATCATGACATGTTGGAGCCCTTCATTCCACCTGAGCTTCCTGAGGTTGGTTCTCGTGATATGGTGCTCCCAGCACCCTCTCAAGCTCAGATGCTACCTTCCCAACCACATACCGATAGAATCATTGAGTATCTTCCATTCCCGAAAGATACTCCAAAGTCAGTGCCTTCTTTGCCAGCAGCAGAGGTAATGCCTGATGTACAAGAAGTGAAAATACCTGGTAATGGTCAGTCTAGAATTGCATTTGAAAGGATCACAGGGTCACCTCTATTTGTAGCAGCTTTGGTATGTTTCTTGACTTTTATAGTTGTCAGAAAGTCTGAACAGCCCAGCAACTCAAGTTCTGGAACCATTTCCTTCAAAAGGAAGAAAAATCGAAAAGTTGGGAAAAATGGATCCAATTCAGAGAAAAAGGAGAAAGATACTATGCCAAATGGGAATGGTATGGGAATGAGCAATGATGATGATCACTTGTGGCGTAACCTCTCTGAACCATTTTCTAGCATCTGTGCACGTAGGATTGGTAAACTACTTCTAACCGCCAATGAAATTGCTAAAGGTAGTAATGGTACGGTTGTTCTTGAGGGTATATATGAAGGTCGTCCTGTTGCTGTGAAACGTCTTGTCAGGGCTCATCATGATATTGCCTTTAAAGAAATCCAGAATCTCATAGCTTCAGATCGGCATCCGAATATAGTGAGATGGTTTGGCGTGGAGCAAGATCAAGATTTTGTCTATCTTTCTTTGGAGCGGTGTAACTGCAGCTTGAATGACTTTGTTCAGTTGTTTTCTGACGCTTCTGAGAACCTTGCATTGAGCAAGAACTTGGATGATCAGGATATGGCCAAGTACAAAGCCCATATGGATTCTGTGAAAGTTCTTGTACAGGATACTGTGTTATGGAAGGCAAATGGCTATCCTTCTCCTGTTCTATTGAAACTAATGAGGTCAGTGAAAATGTTACTTTCATGTGTTCGTGATTTTGTCAAATTTTATATAGAGATGTCCATTGCTCACTGCATACCTTCCTCGTGTACAACACTTGAGAAATAAGAATGCTTCTGGAAGATTTGTTTTCCGTTGTTATGTTGCTACCTTTTAAAGGAAATCTGACCTCATAGGTTAACTTTTAAAGAAAATTATTATACGTAATTACGAGCTTCTTCAATTAGTCCTAAATGTCAGATCTAACTATGTCATCTAATCATTTCAGTTCTCTTTGTCTTGAAATGCAGGGATTTGGTTTCTGGACTTGTACATCTACATGAATTAGGAATCATTCACAGAGATATTAAACCACAAAATGTCCTGATCATCAAAGACAAATATTTATGTGCAAAGCTTTCAGACATGGGTATTAGCAAACGTCTAACTGGGGATATGGCTTCTTTGGGGCAGCATGCTACAGGTAAGGATTTTCTCCTTACGCTCCAAAATTGCATAATGTCACTTTTTATGACTTTCTCTGTCCGTACTTTAGTCTAATTCTATAGGAGATCCGAGTGATTCAAGGCTCTAGATCCATGAAAAAGCATGTCATGCTATTTTGTTGGGTTTTCTTTTCTGTGCAATGACAAGCATGCAATTACAAACTGACTCTTGGAAAAGATTGTTGTTCTCCAATGACCTACTTGTTCTACCTGCATCATTTTTGGCCACAGGTTGTGGAAGTTCGGGATGGCAAGCGCCTGAGCAACTTCTTCTTGGACGCCAAACAAGGGCTGTAGATTTATTTAGTATAGGTTGTGTGTTATTTTTCTGTGTCACTGGCGGCAGTCACCCTTTTGGGGATCGTCTTGAACGTGACGTGAACATAGTGAAAAACCAAGTCGATCTGTTTTTAGTGGAACATATACCTGAAGCAAAGGAACTCTTCTCCCTCCTACTGAGCCATAATCCAGAAATGAGGTAAAACCACAAATGGAGTATTATCCTGGCATTGATATTGTGTTTAGGCATTTCATTCCTTTTACCGAGACTAATTTGCTGCCGATCATGTAAGGATTCGTCATGAAGTAAGGCCGTCTAATGAAAGTGAATCAAATTTCTTTGGTTGACAATTTTAATTTTCACCACAGAAACATAAAGAGGATGCCAATAGGAAACACACAGAGGCATAATGTTGCTTTACAGCTAGTTATGACTTTGAGTAACCTTTTACTTCACCAACTGCTTCTTATTTTATTCAAAATTTTCTTAAACTTCTTAACAATCATGTAGCCTTTGCATTTACTTTTCTTTCAGAAATTCTGTTCTGCAATCGTGCCGCTGAAATTTTTCTTCTTCCATGTGCACAATGTTCAGGCCAACAGCAGTAGAGGTGCTTGCTCATCCACTCTTCTGGGATGCTGAAATGAGATTATCATTTCTCCGTGACACAAGTGACAGGGTAGAACTGGAGGACAGGGAAAACAATTCTCAGCTTTTAAATGCCATAGAAAGTACAGCAGCAGTAGCTCTTGGTGGAAAATGGGATGAAAAGATGGAATCTGCTTTTTTGAATAATATTGGTCGCTACAGAAGGTACAAGTTTGACAGTGTCCGAGACTTGCTGAGAGTCATGCGCAACAAATTGAATCATTATAGAGAGCTCCCCAAAGAAATTCAGGTGCTTGTTCATTAACTTTATGCTTTTTGGATCTGCATCATTTTCTTATATTTATGGTCCCTGGAGAAATTCCTTTCTGCCAGCCTTGCCCTTTGTCAGGCACTTTAGTACCTAAGTCGGTCATAATGAAGAGAGTAATCTTTACTGTCAATAATCTAAGCTGATGATTTACTAGTTGTCATTGAACTTTGAGTTACTCAAATGTCTTTCCCTTTTCGCTTTACATTTTCAGGAGATCTTGGGATCAGTACCAGAAGGATTTGACAACTATTTTGCTAGTCGGTTTCCAAATCTATTAATCGAGGTTTACAAAGTGATGAGCATGCATTGCAAAGAAGAAGAGTTGTTTGTGAAATACTTCAAATGCAGTGTAGTCTAACTTTAAGAGGCTAATGAACCAGTCATCATCACTCTGGAGGAGAATAACACCTCTTGTTGCTAATGAACAAGGCGAATGACAACTATGTCTTGTTGCTGCTTGTTCGTTTATGTAAATACATAAAGGTTATCTGTAAACAGTTTCTTTCATGTGAAAATTCAATGAAAGTTATGTTAATCTATTAATACTTATCAGATTGGCCACGATCAGTCATCTACTCTGCTCTGTCAGAGATTCACATTTTAACCCCCCCAAAAAAAAAAAAGAAAAAAAAGACGGATTCACATTGGTAGATCACTGAGTTTACAGTTAGAAATCTGAAACGGGCTGCAGCAAATATTATACTATTAGAACTGAGAACCATAACACTGTTACTATATTTTGTTTATTATTACACCGTTAATTTACTATGTCAGTAAGGATATTTATTTTGGAACTATATGAATCAAACGCGTTTAAAAGAAAATATGTATGCAAAGATGAGTCATTGTTCAAAAAATTTAGTTAAAACGTCAATAAAATATATCAGAAACTATTACTTACACATTGTAAAGTATAAAAGACTTAAAACTTTACTGAAACTGAGAATACATTCATGCTTCTAAAAAAAATTATGTTAGGACCATCGTTATTTTTTATTCTTGCAACTCATCTTCATGTCATGTGATTAGCCAAAAATTGCACTCGAATTAACATTAAAGTTCCAATTGGGCTGTTAGAAAAACAAATCAAAGTGAACTTGCAAAATAAGAAAAAAGGAGACAAAAGTTGGATAAGACATAAGTAAGAAGAAGGGAAGAGAGAAATCAAGGACTCCAAATAAAATATGATCCTTAAATAGTTTTAGTAGAATATATTGTAATGGTTGTTAAAATAGTAGATGAAAAGACTCCAAATAAATGAAGGAACTATAACATAAAATAAAAAGAGATAAAATCATAACACGTGTAGTTAAGAACAAAAGAGTAAAGAAGATGAAAAATTTAACATCCATAAAAAGAACATAAAATGAAGGGAAGATAAAAGGAAATGAAACGTTCTATAGTAAATAATAGAAAATGAAAAGAAATGAAAATTTCAGCATTCTCAATTAAAGATCACAATAAATATAACGGGAGAAAAACAAAGAGGTGCAATAAGTTTGACTTAAAAAGAAAAAAAAACTAAAAATTAAAATAAACAATAATAATAATAAAAAAGAAGCATGTGAGAATCATGTGAGAGAATTACCAAACCCAATCCCACATTCCCTAATTATAATATGACGAGTAATGATTGGTACAAGGAAAAAAGACGAGGAAAAATTACAAGGAATTGATTTTACCCATCCATTATTAAAACTTTTCAAACAGGGTTTATGCATTTAAGGTTAGAGCATAGTTAAAATTTTGACACATCATTCTTTGTCATTTTTCTTTATTATTTTTTTCTTGTACCTATCAACTCTTATAATATATATATATATATATATATATATATAAAATATATATGTTGATGAAAGAAGTACCATGCAGAAAGTATTTGCTTGCCTATGAGAACGGCTTCATTTGCCTGATAACCGAAGAAAAAAAAAGAAGAAACAAAATGAAAATTTTTTGAGATTGGGCCTAAGCTACTTTATAACTGGGTCTCTGATTTTCTACACAAATCCGAAATCCAACAACCAAGCGAAGGCCCAGCCTTTCAGGACACTTTTACCCAATACCTCAGTCTGCACTGTGGTTAACATATAAATAGCCGTAAAACCTTCATTTGGCGAAAACCCTAGTATCCTCAACCTTTCTCCTCCTGCTGTTGGCGCAGCCGCAAGAATGCAGATCTTCGTGAAGACCCTGACGGGGAAGACGATCACCCTTGAGGTGGAGTCTTCCGACACCATCGACAATGTCAAGGCTAAGATCCAGGACAAGGAAGGAATCCCGCCGGACCAGCAGCGTCTGATTTTCGCCGGCAAGCAGCTCGAGGACGGCCGGACTCTCGCGGATTACAACATCCAGAAGGAATCCACTCTCCACCTCGTCCTCCGCCTCCGTGGTGGCGCTAAGAAGCGTAAGAAGAAGACCTACACCAAGCCTAAGAAGATCAAGCACAAGCACAAGAAGGTTAAGCTCGCCGTGCTCCAGTTCTACAAGGTTGATGACTCCGGCAAGGTCCAGAGGTTGAGGAAGGAGTGTCCTAATTCTGAGTGTGGCGCCGGAACTTTCATGGCTAATCATTTCGACAGGCACTATTGCGGCAAGTGTGGTCTTACTTATGTTTACCAGAAGGGCGGTGATTGATTGATTTTCATTATTCAATTAAGAGCTGGCCAAATTTGATTTTGTTATATTACTCTCGTAGTACCTTTCTACTTAATTATTACTGGAGGCTTGACTCAACTATGTAGAATTCTTCAGAATTTTTGCGAATTTTCGTAATGAGTATGCCTGGATGGTTTTCCATTTCGTGTTCCTGTTGTGGTCTTCTGGTTTTTGGTAGTCAATATCTTCGGTTACTACTGATTTTTCCCTCTGTTGCATGTTTGTATCCTTGAATTATGGTGGTGTTTAGTTTTGTTGTTTGATTTGGTTATTTGATTAGGTTTGCACATGTCCTATATTTTGTAAAATGTATGTTAGATTGGTTTGATTTGCAGCTGTTACTTGACACCAACCGCTCTTAAATCCATTGATATTCTTCTGGTAGGATTCGGTTAATGACAGAGTTTGTATAGTTTCGGTTCATTTGATGTTTGTTTGTCTGAATTTAATTCATAATAATATTGTTCTGACCAGGTCTTTGTTGTCAATAGGTTATAGATCCGCAATGACTGTAATTGCAATAGAATTTAGAACATGAAAGCTTGCATGTAGTATCAAACCAACACTTTGTTGCATTATTAGAAGCGGGAGACTGGTTGTCAGGATGCCATTGTAGCAGAAAGTAGCAAACAAGGCTTTTGCATCATTTCTTGCAATTAGGATTTTAGCATTAGCAGAAATTAGAAAAGGCATGAACTCTGTCGTATAAGAAACTTTGTTCCAATTCTCCATAAATTCCTGCATCTCTGAAGCTGGCAGCCTGGCGCTTTTCTTAGACGTAATGTTGCATGGTATTTTTTTAGAACTTTTCACAGGCAAATCATTAAAAAGTAGTGTTTGAAATTTCCTACCGACGCTTTTGCCTCGATAAGTTTTGATCATTTCTCCTTTATCAGTTTTAATCAATCTCCCTTCCAAAATTTAAGAACGTTTGGAGTGTGGTGATGTATGGTATTGTGAAATGTATGATGCCTGCAAAGTGTTCCAACCAAAGTCTTCTCTAAAAGCTTTGTATTTTCCGACCTGAAAGAACTCTGCAGCCATTTTTCACTTTGCTGCTGAAGTTCGCCACTCTCTGACCCCTGCATTTATCAACTGTCTTGGTAGATGACCTGGACTGTTTCTTGGTGTAAATATGTTGTGTTTGTACTTGCAAATCTCATTTAAGATGCTCTAGTCAAAAATTAGATGCGCGAGTCTCTGAACAAACCATGTTCAAGATGACTACAATTCAGCAGAACATAGTGCTTCCAATCCAGCAGAAATTGTTCATCGAATTGGGGTATCTTCATCGAGTTGACGTATAATCTCTCTATCTCTTCAACCGTCCACTCCAACAGCTAACACTCAAAAGTCAAATGTCAAACATGAACGGTTTATTTTGAATCAAGTTCATAAGCATACGGAGGGCAATAGTCAAACTGTTTAATAACATTTTGTACAGGGCCTATTTGTAGGAGAATATGAACTAGTCGGTCCAACCAAAGCAGTTAGATCGAAATCTTTTCAGTCCATAGGATGGCATTTATGCCACCAGGGAGAAAGAAATTTTAAAAAATAAAACATTATGCAACTTCACAGTTGTACTATGGTAGCTCTTGCATATCTTGCATTAGCACTAGAAAAAGATAAAAAATCATGGCAGGGAATAAGGAGGGAAGCCCGAAAGGACGAGAAGAAATTGTCGGCTACTTTTGCCATTAAGTTTGTGCATCTACGAAACTGGCACTTCTCCTAGACGACAATTTTGCTTCATATTTCTTGAACCATTCAGTGTTGAATCGCCAAATCTACTCGCATTTGAGACTCCCTCCAAACGTCTTCTCTTTGATCGCGCTTTCACTGTTTCTTCCTTTTCGTTAACAAAAGTCAGGAATGATTGGAGCCGTGATGATCGCGATTGCGAGCTACTTGAAGCTAATGGTTCTGGATCTGGTTCGTAGTGATGACGGAAGAATTGGTGTAATATACCTACAAAATGTATAAGCAAGGCAAAAATGCATGCCAATCCACATAAGGCAAAGAGGCCTACGAAGCTTCGCAACTCAAGTCTCTCCACTGAGAGCTTTGTTGTTTCTGAACTGCAAGCACTTCTCTGCAGCCACTTGTCGTGAATCTGCTGGAGTTCACCACTCTCTGACAGTTTCAGAATAGCAGTTGACATATCAATGGCCAGAGGTGAGTCTCTCGGGAAGGCCTGACAAAACAGAAAACGTGTTTAAGTACAATATTACAGCCATTCCTGCTATTACAAAAAGCGATTATGTGATTACTGGATTTACGTTGTTTATAATGACTATAGAAAAGTCGTCATTTAGAATGTTGGTAACAGTATCCTATCTTTCTATCAGAAGATTCGAAACCAAAGTGATGTCTACAGGTAGTACTTACGAATCCCCATCCACTTTTGGTGAACTCTTGGCCAACAATGCTAAAGTCACAATGAGTGGAGAGGAAAAGCTCCATATATGCTCGAAAATCAACAACAGCAGCAACTCCACCATTGCTAGGACCATCGTGCAAGGCTCTTGCATAGTCTTCCGGCAAATTTAGAGGGACTAGTCGGGATTCTTGGATGCCAAGCTCTTGAATGAGGTAATCACGTACAAATAAACCGACTGGGAAACCAATCGGATCCTTACTGTGAACCAAACTTTCTATCCCTTTAATTGGTGAAGAAAGTTGTTGAACAGTAAGGATTGAGGTAAGACTAGCAGTGTAACTAGAGGTGATAATTAGAATCACAAGCAGCCATATAAAGAGGACAAACCGGCCAAGAATGCTAACTGTATTTTCTCCTGCATAGAAAAGAAAATCAGAAAATTGCTTGGAAGCATAGCTTTTCCAACTGCATAAAAAAGTACCCTAAACCAGAATCACATTACTATCCTCAAAAAAAGAAAAAAAAAGAAAAGAATCAACATAACTTACTATGTGCATAAAAGAGTGTTGATAAACTGAACCTGCAATACATGCCAAAAGAAGAGTGTCAATCAGAAAATTAAGAAGAAAACAAATGAACTATAAACTAGCATCTAGATACTAAACCATATAACAACGGCAGAAGAACAAAAAAGTAATGCTGACAGAGAATATGCACGTTTAACATCAATTTCCTAAGGCATCTAGAGACATTAAGCAGATACAAACCATAAAGTCGTCACAAATTGCTTTCTGGGAGGGCCCCGAAACTCATCATTCAACCTGTGCTCTAATAACCAAACAACAGATCCCACAATGAGGAAAAACATTGCTGTGACGCCCCACATTGAAGGAGTAAATGGCATCAGAAAGGCCCAAAAATTAGAACTCGACTTCTTCACAGGCACCACTACAACAAGGCCGGACTCGATATATGGTTGAGTAAAATCAACTATTCGTGTCCGGTTTGTAGTAATTGCAAGGTCACCTACAGCAGCATCAAAGACCTATTTGGTGGAAGAGAAAAAAAAAATTTTAGGCCAATATATCATTTACTTTGAATTTTTTTTTATCAAAGTCTCAAAATTTACCCCAGTTGTGATCAATCTCACAAGCTCGTTGTTGCTTGGATTGACACGACCGTCTCCAAATGCAATTAGTTTGTATGGAACACCATAAGGCAACAAGTTCAGGGCAGCCAAGAAAACATCAATACAGTATCCTTTGAACATATTTGTTCCTGGTTCCTTTGTTACAAATTCACCATAACTAACTCTGTATGGAACACCAATCTTTAATGCCCGACCATTTTGTGGAAAAACCCAGCCACGAGGTCTTTCAGTAGTTTGTCCAGGCCAGATTACACTATAGAGTTGCTGATTTGAAATGGAACGATTTGGCTTCTTGGAATAAACTTTTTCTGGTGGAAGTATTGACAAGCCAGAATAATCTGTCCAATAACCAATCCCCCGTAAGGCAGTTTCAATCACATTGATGACTTCAAAAGCAGGCCGGAACAGGTTCCGATCTGAAGTGAAACTGTATGGTCCTGTCACCCCTGTCATATTAACCTGTAAAATACTGTCCAGTAGCAAGTTACCTCCATTGAAGATGCTCATAGCATTTAGATTCAAACTGCCAGTGTTCACATCATTCAACATTGAATACGGGGAAAATGACAAGTTGCCTCCTTTTTCGAAAAATATATCAATGGCCTGAGCAAGTAGCCAAACAGTATCATAGGCATAGAGAGCAAATGAGTTTAGTCCCATCGGAGAACTACTAGCTGCTTCTTGCTTTGTCAAGTTACGCCACCTAGAGATGAAATCTGTTTTCTTTTTAGATCCTGGAGTGTGTATTCGTAGCGTAATAACCCCCTGTATACTTTCAAATATCTCAGGAGATAGAACATCTTTAGAATCCAGCATGGTTGTTAACCAATTAGTAGCAAACCAAACATGTCCGTTATCCATCATTCCTAGATCGTGTGCCACAGAGAATATATCTAGTCCCCTTTCAGGATAAGTGTGTACTACGAAAATTCGCGACTCCAGTAAAGCCACATGTGCAAGCACATCACGAATTTCTACTTTGGTAGCATCAGGGCTCAAAGCTGCTTTGTACGATATATCACATTGTTTTGAGCCCAACTTATCGGCTAATGCAACTATTCCATTCCTTCCAAAATCGTCGTCAACATAAATTGCGATAACCTTCCTCCATTCATAGTGTTCAACCAATTCTGCAATTGCAGCCATCTGGAACATATCATTTGGTGAGGTCCTGACAAACAATGGGTACTGAAGTGAAGAAAGGGTGGGATCCGTAGCTGCATAAGATAGCAGAGGAACTTGGAGCTCATTCGCAACATGTGAAATCACATGAGCTATGACTGACGATTGTGGACCAATTATCGCCATTGTTTCAGTCTCCATAAAGTGCATGGCTGTTAATATCACAACAACACAAGGATTAAAGACTACAAACATGAGAACAACAGACAAGTTCTTTCAAAAAACACAAGAAATTTATCAGCAAGAATGTTACAAGGTGATTACCCTCAATGATGCCTAGGAATCCACTATTACCGCTGTCAAAAGTTGTTATGTTTAGCTTGGTTCCTGGAAGAACTGCTAAGTTGGAGTTCACATCTTCTACTGCTGCGTCTATAGCAACTTTTGCAGCTTTGCCAACAAACGAATCCAATGTGAGGATTGACCCAATATTTACTGATTTCGGCCTTCCGGACATATTTGTATTAGCACCTCTTGAAAGATGTCCACCTCCAAGAACTACTAGCACCAGAAGCCAAAGAATCCTCATTTTTCCACCCTGTTTACACCGAACAAAAAATGAGCTAGGATGAACAGTAAACTGTTATAGGACAAAAAAAGAAGTGAAAACTAATTTCCATTTATCCATATTTTATGACAAAGACCAGAAATTTTGCATATCTTGAATCAATGAATAAACACACCTGACAAATTCTCAGGAGAGTTGCACACCCAAGGGCCGTACTTATCTAATTTTGTGCCTATGGCTTCTCTCTATTCAAAATATCAACACACGCGCGCGCGCACACACACACACACACACACACAAACCCAACAACAACACCATAAACACCCCTGAGAGTACCAATAAGTAGATAATCCAAACTTTCAGAAGTTTGAAGAAATGAAAACAGCCATACAATGAACTTTGTGGGATTGACTTTACCTTCAACTCGAGAGACCAGCTTGCCCAATTCAGAACATCAAAAAGCAGTCATGGGGAGAAATTGAAATTCCACTTTCCAGTTTTCCACTTTGTCCCACTTGAACTGAATGGAGAAACAACAAGTTTCTGCCTGTCAAAATAAGCTTTAATTGCAGTGCACTATTGCAATTCCAGCGTCCATTGACTCCATTCAAGACTTTGCAATTCCAGTGCCTCGGCCTTCTAGAATTTTTGACTCCTTCATTTTCAAATGGGGCTTCAGATAATTGTCACTGTTATCTGAAATAAATGCATGTGGAAGAACCAAAGAGTTTGGCCCTTCATCTGAAGCATGAGGTGGGGATTGGAGGATGCCATTAACGTTGGCCCTTGATTGGGACTGTAGAAAAGACGGTACGCTAAATGAAAATGTAGATGATTCCCTTGGGAGAATTTTCCAGCTAGTTTCCTCATGATTTGTAAAAAATTAAGGGCAGCAGAGAAACAGATTGCCTCAATAAGACGCTATACAAAAGACTTTTATGGTCTGATTCTTACCGCACTTGGTAAAATCATTGTAGAATTTTGGGACTGAAAAGAGATGCTGTCTTTGGAGTGGCAGTCTCTGTGGATTGATTTTGCTGTCATGAAACGACACATTATGACAAGTCGTTAGCAAAGAAGCTTTCTAAAATTAACCCACTTTTTTGTTTCTTTGGACACAAACGTTAAACTGTATCTTCTAAGTTACACATGTTTAAGTCAGTGACGAAAGACTAACTTTGATTTCATTCACCACCACATAAAATAAATAATTCCACATCTTTGAAGATGAAAAACCAATCATAATAAGCGCTCTAATTTCATCAGTCAGTATCATCATGTCTGGGAGATGGTCAATCCCAATGAGCCCTCTACTCAGAAAATATCATATCTTTACCATGGTGAGGGTGGAACGAACGAACATTCGATCATCAATAAATCCAATCACAAGATTCTCTCTCTCTGGTGAATGAAAGCCGCAAACCTTGGCTTCAACGGAAAATGGAACTTTCTCATTTTCAACTTTTTTTTTTTTTTTTTGTGTCATCATAGTATGTAGAAGTTATTAGTTATGTATATTAAGATGCAATAACAGAGTCAATAACCATGTAAAAGACACAGATTAAAAAAGGTCATTTTCTCAAGAGGATGGAGTAGAGAATTTTGCAAACTTTTAATTTCCTCTGCGGGTTGCGTAAAGAACGATGTAAATGCCATATTCAAGCAAGAATATAATGTAATATAACATGAACAGAAATTGTAGTCCCAAGTGTCTTTCTCAACTATTTGACTCTTACCATAATCAGATGATTTCAAAAATAATACTACTTCCGTCTCATTTTGATAATCCAATTTGTTGAATTAATATAACAAAAGTGGGACCAGGGAAGGGGGGTTATTTTGCAGCGTTTACTTTAGGACCTTAGGTTTAGTTCCAGAGTCAACCCTGCAGAATCTTGATTCACTCAGGTTGATGCAGCTATTGCCATAGCAGCAATATTAGTCTATGCACAAATGCTGCAAAACAAAGGAAAGGAAACGCAAAAAAAAGCTTGCTGATGCTTGGGAATTCACATGGTTCCTTCCAGCAGATGTAAAACACCAGAGTTGTATGTTTGTTTGTTTGTTTTTTTTTTTTTTTTGTTCCTTTTGGCTCATAAACAGCAAGAGGAAGTGGAAGAAAAACATCGTGTCATCGCATTATAAATCCCAACTTTCAAGTCGACGAGATTATAAGATTCTTAACAAACCATGCCCAAGTCGACTATAATTCACACCAAATAAGTTCATCCACATACTGGTCGCGCTTTTTAGCCCAACCATTAAGACAATATGCGAATTTATGTACAAAAACTAATCCAGTCGAGTTAAAAAATTTAATTGAAAGTTAATTCGTCAACTTGTTCGTCCAGATTTTCATCTCGACGGTGAAGTCGACATACTAAATCTTTTGTACAGATTCGGTCAATTAATTTCGTCGACTTGGTGGTTGAACAAAGTAACCTGACGAAACAGCTGACTTAACTTCGTAGACATAGTAGTCTTAGTTACCTGTCCTAATGATCAAGTCGACGACATTTATCTCGAACTAATCTCATTAACCTACGAAGGGCAACTATCGAATGATATTTTGTACAATGTAGTATTGAACAAGTTTAAGAACATAAAAGTCATAATTTGCAGGAAAAAAAAAAACAAAGTAAGTACAGAGACGAATTTTCTGCTGAAAAGACGCATATACTTCATTCATATTGCTGATTATTTCAAAGGACCCCATTACTCACTGTTTTGGTCAATGCCTAAACCGTGAAAACATTTTTGATACAAAACAAGTTCCATCAAACAACTTCTACAACTAGCATACTTTCTGCAAGTTAACATACTAGAAGAAGAAAAGTTTATAAAAGCAAAAAAGCAAAGACCAAGATTCTCAAATTCTAACAAGTATTTGCTTGGCAGGAACTAAGGAGGTAAGCCTAAGAGGAAGAGAAGAAATTGCCTGCTATTCTTGCCATTAAGTTTGTGCTTCTACGTACTTCTTGGAATCATTCAGAGTTGAATCGTCAAATCTACCCGCATTTGAGACTCCCTCCAAACGCCTTCGCTTTAATCTCGCTTTAACTGTTTCTTCCTTTTCGTTAACAAAAGTCAGGAATGATTGGAGCCGTGCTGATCGCGATAGCGAGCTGCTTGAACCTGATGGTTCTGGATCTGGTTCGTTGTAGTAACGGAAGAATTGGTGTACGATTCCTACAAAATGTATAAGCAAGGCAAGAATGCAGGCCAATCCACATAAGGCAAAGAGGCCTAAGAAGCTTCGCAACTCAAGTCTGACCACTGGGAGATTTGTAGTCTCTGAACTGCAAGCACTTCTGTGCAGCCACTTGTCAGTAATCTTCTGGAGTTTACCACTCTCTGACAACATCAGAATTGCAGTGGACATATCAGCAGCCAGAGGTGAGTCTCTCGGGAAGGCCTAACAAAACAGAAATTGCGTTCAGCACTGCTTTACAGCCCTTCTTGCTATTACAAAAAATGATAATGTGCAATGACTGGAGATACATTGATTTCAGTGACAATAGAAAAGTCATCATTTTGAATTTTGGCAACAGTATCCTATCTTCATATGCAGAAGATTTGGAACCAAAGTGTTGTCTACAAGTAGTACTTACGAATCCCCATCCACTTTTGGTGAACTCTTGGCCAACAATGGTAAAATCACAATGATTAAAGAGGAAGAATTCCATATATGCTCGAAAATCAACAACAGCAGCAACTCCACCGTTGTTAGGACCATCCTGCAAGGCTCTTGCATAGTCTTCCGGCGAATTTAGAGGGACTAGTCTGGATTCTTTGATGCCCAGTTCTTGAATGAGGTAATCACGTACAAATGAACCGACTGGACATCCAATCGGATCCTTACTATTTACTAAACTTTCTATCCCTTTAATTGGCGAAGAAAGTTGTTGAACAGTAAGGATTGAGGTAAGACTAGCAGTGTAACTAGAGGTGATAATTAGGACCACAAACAACCATATAAAGAGGACAAACCGGCCAAGAATGCTGACCGTATTTTCTCCTGCATAGAAACGGAAATAAGAATGTTGCTGGGCAGCATAGCATTTAACAAAAAACCAAAACCAGGTATTACTTACTATGCGTGTGATACAGTGTTGATAAACTGAACCTGCAACCATGGCAAAAAAAGAATGTCAGTCAGAAAAAAAAAAAAACTAAAGAATGAAAAAAAGAAAAAGAAAAAAAGTAATGCTAGTTGGGAAGTGAGATTAATTTGCAATCTGCTGACAGATAATGTGCATACTTAACGTCAATTTCCTAAGGCATCTAGACACATTTATAATACACAAACCATAAAGTATTCACAAATTGCTTTCTGGGAGGCCCCCGAAATTCGTCGTTAACCCTGTGCTCTAATAACCAAAGAACAGATCCCACGATGAGGAAAAACATTGCGGTGACACCCCACATTGAAGGAGTAAATGGCATGAGAAAAGTCCAAAAATGAGAACTCGAGTTCATCACATTCACCGGCACCACTACAACAAGGCCGGACTCGATATATGGTTGAGTAAAATCCACCATTCGTGTTCGGTTTGGGGTGATTGCTATGTCACCAACAGCAGCATCATAGACCTATTTGGCAGAAGAAAAAAAAAATTAAGCCAACAAATCATCTACTTCGTAGTTTTATTGATCAAAGTCTCAAGATTTACCCCAGCTGTGATCAATCTCAAAAGCTCGTTGTTGCTTGGATTGACACGACCATCACCAAATGCCATTAGTTGGCATGGAACACCATAGGGCAACAAGTTCAGGGCAGCCATGAAAACATCTATGCAGTATCCTCTGAACATATCTGTGCCTGGTACCTTTGATACAAATTCACCATAACTAACTCTGTTTGGAACACCAACCTTTAATGCCCCATTATTTTTTGGAAAAACCCAGCCACTAGGTTTTGGAGTAATTTGTCCAGGCCAGATTACAGTATACAGTTGCTGATTCGAAATGGAACGATTCGGTGGCTTGGTGTAAAGTTGTTCCGGTGGAATTATTGACAAGCCAGAATAATTGGTCCAATAACCAACCCCCCTTAAGCCTGCTCCAATCACATTAATGACTTCAAAAGCAGGCCGGAAGAGGTTCCTACCTGAAGTGAAACTGTATAGTCCCGTCACCCCTGTCATATTAACCCTTAAAATACTGTCCAGTAGTAAGTTACCTCCATTGAAGATGCTCATAGCATTTAGATTCAAACTCCTACTGTTCATACCATTCAACATTGAATAAGGGGAAAATGACAAGTTGCCTCCTTTTTCGAAAAATAGATCAATGGCATGAGCAAGTAGCCAAACAGTATCATAGGCATAGAAAGCAAATGAGTTCAGTCCAATTGGAGAACCACCAGCTGCTTCTTGCTTCGTCAAGTTACGCCACCTAGAGATGAAATCCTTTTTCCTTTGAGATTCCGGCGTGTGTGTTCGCAGCGTAATAACTCCCTGTATATGTTTAAGTATCTCAGGAGATAGAACGTCTCTGGAATCCAACAAGGTTGTCAACCAATCAGTAGCAAACCAACCATATCCCCTCCACATCATTCCTAGATCGTGTGCCACAGAGAATATATCTAGTCCCCTGTCAGGATAAGTGTGTACCACGAAAATTCGCGACTCCATTAAAGCTACATGCGCCAGCATATCACGGATTTCTTGTTTACTAGCATCAGGGCTCAGCGCTGCTTTGTAAGATATCTCGCACTTTCTTAAGCCCAACTGATCTGCTAATGCAACTATTCCATTCCTTCCAAAATCGTCGTCAACATAAATGGCAATAACCTTTCTCCATTCATAGTATTCAACCAATTCTGCTATTGCAGCCATCTGGAACATATCATTGGTAGAGGTCCTAACAAACAATGGGTACTGAAGTGAAGAAAGGGTGGGATCTGTAGCTGCATAAGATAACAGAGGAACTTGAAGCTCATTTGCAACATGTGAAATCACATGAGCTATGACTGACGATTGTGGACCAATTATCGCCATTGTTTCAGTCTCCATAAAGCGCATGGCTGTTATTATCACAACAATTGAACGATTAGAACTAAGAACACAAGACCAGCAGAACAAGTTCTTTCAACAAACACAAGAATTTATGAGCAAGAATGGTATAAGGTGATTACCATCAACGAGGCCAAGGAATCCACTATTACCACTGTCAAAAGTTGTTATGTTTAGCTTGGTTCCTGGAAGAACTGATAAATTGGAGTTCACGTCTTCTACAGCTGCGTCTATAGCAACTTTTGCAGCTTTGCCTATAATTGAATTTAATGTTAGGATAGACCCAATATTCACAGATTTCGGCCTTCTGGACGCATTTGTATTTACCACTATTGAAAGATGCCCACTACAAAGAACTATTAGCACTAGAAGCCAAAGAATCCTCATTTTTCCGCCCTGTTTGCACAGTGAACACAAAAATGTAGATGCCGTCAACAGTTTGGGTCAGTTCAGATGCGCTTGCCAGTGCATTCAATATATAACGGAATACAAGAAAAAAACGAAGTCTAAACTAATTATCATTCAAGGTAAACAAAAACCATGCACCGTTCCCTATTATATGGCCAAGACCAGCACTTTTGCATGTTCTTGAATCATTAATGTCAATAAGCATAAACACGCCTAAAAAAGCGAAGCACTTTTCTACTTCAGGCTATGCCTACTTGTTATTCGATAAAATAAAATAAATTATGAAGCGTAAACACACCTGATAAAGCAAACAAGCAGATAATTGTAACTTCAGAAATTTGAAGAATGAAAAAGAGCCATACAACAAACTTTGTGGGATCGACTTTACCTTCATTTAACAAGACCAGATTGCGCAATTCAAAAGATCAAAAAGCAGTCATGGGGAGAAACATTCAACTTTCCCAATCTCCCACTTGAACTGAATGGACAGCCAATAAGTTAGTGGCTTAGTGCATGTCAAAATAAGTTATAATTGCAGTGCACTATTGCATTTCCGGTGGCCATTCAAGACTTTGGTCCTTCATCTGAAGCATGAGGAGGGGAGTGGATGGGAGGATGCCATTAAGTTGGCCCTTGATTGGGACTGTAGAAAAGACGGTAAAATGGAAATGTAGATTATTCCCTTGAGAATTTCCAGCTAGTTTGGTCATAATTGTGAAAATTAAGGGCAGAAAAGAAATAGATTGCCTCAATAAGACGCTATACAAAAGATTTGTATGTCTATTTCTAGCCATTGTAGAAATTTTTGGACTAAAAAGATACTGTCTTTGCAGCTTTTCTGGATTGCTTTTGCACTCATAAAACGACACATTATTACAACACATTGTTAGGAAAGAAGCTTTTTAAATTCACCCACTTTTGTTTCTCCAAGCACAAATTTAGTATGATATATATTCCAAATTTATTAGGCAACTCGTTGTACACATGTTTATGTCAATGATGAGACTAGATTTCATTTCACTCACCAGTCACCACCACTTATATACATCAACATCTTAAAGATGATAAACCAATCATAATGAGCTCTCTAATTCATCTGTCAGTTTTATCATTGCTGGCAGATAGTCAATACTCAGGCCTCAAATCCAAAAAATTATCTATCTTTACCATGGTGATGTACAACAAAGATCAATATTCGATCATCAAAGAAATCCAATCACAAGACTCCCTAGCTATAGGTGCAATGTTTGCCGCGAAACAAAGGAAAGGAAACCCAAAAAAAGCTAGCTAATGCTTTGGAATTCAGATGGATTCTTGCAGCGGATGTAAAAGGCCAGAGTTCTTTTTGCTGGAAGAAAAACATCGTCAACTTAGTGATCTCATTGTAAAGCCTGACTTTCAAGTCGACAATATTATAAGTCCAAGTCGACTATAATTCAGTTCACCTAAGTTAATCACTTACTTGTCGAGCTTCTAAGTTCGACGATTAAGTCAATGTATGAAGTAAATGTAGAAAAAATATCTAAGTCGACTCGAGTAGAAAATTAGTTTGTCGACATGGTCGTCCAGTTTTGTATCTCGACGATCAAGTCCACACATTAAATTTTTTGTACAGATTCAGTTGGAATATTTCGTCGACTTGTTCGACGAATAGCATAACCCAACAAAAAAGAAAGTTGACATAATTTCCTCTCAAATTCAGGTGCCTGCGCGGCACTTATTTCCATCTTTCCAAACTCAAAAACCACTCTCCATATCTCTTAAGTCTAAAATCTGCCATAAAAAATATCATACAGATACTCATTGATCGCAGAAACTAACACTCAGAAGATCACCCCCTAAAGTTACTTCATGTGGAGGACAAACTGCTTAGTTACATTCTATACAATTTATTATTTGCTGGTTGATGAATGCAAAAATGCAGAGACATATAATAAAGGTTGAACGTAATATAATATATATTCATGTAACCACGAAATTGTCTGAAGTCAAAATTGCAATCATTGATAGAAAATAGAACGTACTCTAATATTGTGCTTTTTATCACTTTCAGTACAATTGTGGAGAAAGGAAAGCTACTTGCTTTAGATAACACTTTGTAGGCACCGTCAGAGCCTTCTTCCCGAACAGTATTGTTACAGTTCCAGAGCCACCAGTCTGGATTGCAGTCTTGGATGCACAAATAAGTATTCTGATGCATAATTATGGCATCATCGTTCTTCAACTCCTTGTTTACTTTTATCCATTCTGCCTTCTCCTCCTCCTCCTCCAGCTTGTAAGCTTCATACTTGGATGATGCAAAATGCTTTTCCAGAAGGAGAAGGTCTTGGATTGACGACTCCAGCCTCCATTGGAGCTCGCCGGGGATGGCCGCCGGAATTAGCTGTGTAATCAACGGCGAGGAGGGAGTTGTTGTCATCCAAAGCGTACAGCAATCCCTTGTGAAAGTGTATATCTTCAAGCTCAACAAACCCTTCTCCCGGGAAATTAGTATTGGCAAGATTCCAAGAATTTTCCTTGCCGGGTTTGATCAGAGCGAGCCGGAGTCGGCCACAGATTGCGGCCACGGCGAATTGATCATCATCTGGGTACAGAGAAGGATCACAGGACATGATGATCTTGTTAACCCTGCCGTAATTTTCTGGGATCCCAGGAATCTTCACAATCTTCCGATTGAACGGATTGTAGAGCAGGATGGATTTGGATTCCTTCTCCTTTTGCAGGGACAACCATCCGTACGAGGAACCGTAACATTTGACCTCAAAATTACTCGACCCAGCATCATCATCATCATCGTCGGGAAGAAGTAGTTTGTTTGTGAAGATTCAAATAGTATAACCTGTCCTCCCCCACAGTGTACAATCTGGGGCGACAACTGAGATTGAACGATGGAGTTTGATTAGAATTCGTTAACGAAAGAGGGTGGGGGTTGGAGGATCGGATGCACAAGCAAATTGGCGGCTGTTTATATACCGAGATTTGAGATTCGCCTCTGTTTTTGACGGGCAGCGGCTGAATTCCATGATTTGCAAACTGCCCCGAATCGGATGTAATCTGAAACATGAAATACTTTTGTCTAGAATCGCGTCCAAAGCTTGTGGATCAATATTTCCCCAATCTACGAATCTAGTCCCATAGATTGCCATCGGACAAGCAATAAGAAAAATTTCCAAATTTGTACTATGATCTTTTGGTACACAGGAGGTAACTTAATAGTGATTTGAGAAGAAGAACGACGAAGGAATTTGTAAACTACTATCAGGGATATCTCTCTCATATATACTTGTTGCGAATAGTAGGGACGATTACCAATTTGGATTTCCAGAAAATGACATCTTTTTTTTTTTTTTGCAGAAAATATGATTTCATCATTAAGTAAATTTCACAGTTACACTATATATTGGTTAGTGGTTGCATATTTTGCATCGGCATTAGACAAAGATAGAGGGAAAAACCTGTTTGCTTCTTTTTGCCTTTTTAAGTTTTTGCATCTACAAAGCTGACACTTCTCTTTGACGCGAACTCTGATCGGTATTTCTTGGAACTGTTTGGAGTCGTCGAATCATCGAAACAACTAACATTTGAGACTCCCTCCAGACGCCTTCGCTTCGATCGCGCTTTAACGGTTTCTTCCTTTTCATCAACAAAAGAAAGGAATGTCTGCAGCCGTGCTGATCGCGAGCTACTTGACGATAACGATTCTGGATCCGGTTCGTAGTAGTGACGAAGGAACTGCCGAACTATTAGTATGAAGTGTATGAGCAAGGCAAGAATGCATGCCAATCCGCATATGGAAAACAGGCCTGCGAAACTTCCCAACTGAAGCCTGTCGACTTCAAGCTTTGTGCTTTCTGAGCTGCAAGCACTTCTCTGCAGCCACTTGTCATGTATCTGCTGGAGTTCGCCACTCTCCGACAACTTCAGGATCGCGGTCGATACATCGACAGCCAAAGGTGAGTCCCTCGGGAAGGCCTAATAGAAACAGAAAATGCATTCAGTAGTGCCTCAATTGAAATGAACAGGATTTACTTTGTTTTTTCATGTTGACAACAGAAAAGTAAACCATTTAGAATCCTGGCAAATGCTACAGATCTACTAGGTGAATGCCATTGGATTGAAAGGTGCTGTCTATAAGCAGTACTTACAAATCCCCATCCGTTTTTGGTGAACTCTTGGCCAACAATGCTGAATTCACAATGTGTGGAGAGAAAGACTTCCATATACGCTCGCTCATCAATGACGGCAGCAACTCCACCATTCCTTGGACCATGTCGTAAGGCTCTCGCATAATCCTCTGGCAAATTAAGTGGGACTAGTCTGGATTCATGGATACCCACCTCTTCAATAAGGTAATCTCGTGCAAATGAGCCAAGTGGGTAACCAATCGGATCGTTAGTATGTAACAAACTTTCTATCCCTTTAATCGGCGAAGAAAGCTGTTGAACCGTAAGGATTGAGGTAAGACTGGCAGTGTAGCTAGAGTTGATAATTAGAACCACAAACAGCCATAAAACCAGTACGAAACGGCCAAGAGTGCTGACCGTATTTTCTCCTGCACAGAAAGGAAATTAGGAAATCGCTTAAATAGCATCCGACTGCATCAAAAAGTACCCCAGCCAGAGTCATAATACGTACTGTGTGCGAAAAAAAGTGTTGATAAGCTGAACCTGCAAGCCATGTCAAAGAAAGGTGTTAGTAAATCATCATCAAAGCAGCAAATGAACTGGAAAATAGCATTGAGAACTTAAACCTTGCAACTGTTACAGAAGAATAAGAAACTAATGCAAGGTGGAAATAAGGTTTGTGATGTGCTAGCATAGGATGCGCATGATCAATTTCCTAAGAAATCTAGACACATTTAGTAGATACGGACCATAAGGTAGTCACAAACTGCTTTTTTGGAGGCCCACGAAATTCATCATTTAACCTGTGCTCCAATATCCAAACAACAGCTCCCACAATGACAAAAAACAATGATGTGACACCCCACATTGAAGGAGTAAATGGTCTGAGAAATGCCCAAAAATGAGAACTCGACTTCATCACCGGCGCCACAACAACAAGACCAGACTCAATATATGGTTGAGTAAAATCTGCCATTTGCGTTCGATTTCTGGTGATTGCAATATCACCCACAGCAGCATCATAGACCTTTTCGGCAGAAAACATAAAAATTTAAGCCATGAAATTATCTAATAAGAAGTTTTATTGACCAAAGACAATAATTACCCCAGCTGTGATCATTCTCACAAGCTCAGTGTTGCTTGGATTGACAAGACCATCACCAAAAGCCATAAGTTTGTATGGAACACCATAAGGCAACAAGTTCAGGGCAGCAATGAAAACATCAATACAATATCCTTTGAACATATCTGTGCCTCGTACACTTGCAACAAATTCACCAAAGCTAGCTCTGTTTGGAACACCAATCTTGATTTGCCTACCATTATGTGGAAAAATCCAGCCACGAGGTTTTTGAGTAGTTTGTCCTGGCCAGACCACACCATACAATTGCTGATTTGAACTGGAGCGATTTGGTGGCCTGGTGTAAAGTGATTCTGGTGGAATAATTGACAAGCCAGAATAATTTGTCCAATAACCAATCCTCCTCAAGCCTGTTCCAATCACATTAATGACTTCAAAAGCAGGCCGGACAAGGTTCCTATCTGAAGTGAAACTGTATAGTCCAGTCACCCCTGTCATATTAACCTGTAAAATACTGTCCAGAAGTAAGTTCCCTTCATTGAAGATACTCATAGCATTTAGATTCAAACTCCCACTACTCACACCACTGAACCTTGAATAAGAGGAAAATGACAAGTTTCCGCCTTTGTTGAAAAATGTATCAATGGCATGAGCAAGTAGCCAAACAGTATCATAGGCATAAAGGCCAAAAGTGCTAAACCCAATCGGAGGACCATGCTTAGTCAAGTCACTCCACCTTGAGGTGAAATCTTTTTTCCTTTTAGATTCTGGCGTGTGTATTCGCAATGTGATAACCCCTTGTATATTATCAAATATCTCAGGAGATAGAATGGCTTCAGAATCCAACTTGGTTGTTAGCCAATTAGTAGCAAACCATACAAATCCATTTTCCATCATTCCTAGATATTGTGCCACAGAGAATATAGGTAGTCCATTGGCAGGATAAGTGTGTACCACAAGAATTCGGGATTCCAATTGAGCCACCTGCACCAACAGATCACGGATTTCTTCATTAGTAGCATTAGGGGTCAAAGCTGCTTTGTAAGATATCTCACATCTTCTTGAGGCCAACTGATCTGCTAATGCAACTATTCCATTCCTTCCAAAATCATCATCAACATAAATCGCGATAATTTGTCTCCATTCATAGTATTCAACCAATTCTGCAATTGCAGCCATCTGGAACATATCATTTGGTGAGGTCCTCACAAAAAATGGGTACTCAAGTGAAGAAAGGGAGGGGTCTGTCGCTGCATAAGATAGCATAGGAACTTGGAGCTCATTAGCTATATGTGAAATCACATGAGCTATAACTGAAGATTGTGGCCCAATTATCGCCATTGTTTCAGTCTCCATAAAGCGCATGGCTGTTCACATTTATGATAATTGAAGGGTTAGAGACTAAAACGACGCAAGAAAACTATTGAAAGAACATGTTTATTCGACAAAGACAGTAAATTTATCAGCAAGAAATGCTTTAAGGTGATTACCCTCGATGATTCCCATAAATCCACTATAATTGCTGTCAAAAGTTGTGACTTTGAGCTTGGTTCCTGGAAGAACATCTGGGTTGGAGTTGACATCTTCTACTGCAGCCTCTATAGCAACTCTTGCTATTTTACCAACAAGAGAACTCAATGTAAGGATAGACCCTACATTCACAATCTCCGGCCTTGTAGACATGTTTGTATTAGCACCTCTTGAAAGATCCCCATTACCAAGAACTATTAGTACCAGAAGCCAAAAAAACCACATTTTTCCACCCTGTTTGCACAGTGAACACAAGTAAAATCTAGAATCAATAACTTAGGTTAATTAGAATGCGGGCCATTGATGACTGACTATAACAAAAGGAAAAACTATTAAAATTGAAGTGCTAAACTAACTCCCATTCAAGGAAAACAAAAACAATGCATTGGATGACATATTTAGACATGACCCTCAATTTTGCATATCCTTGAAGCAATAACACAATCAATACACCTACCTGAGAATGCAAATAAGGGATATTCCTAACTTCTGAAAGTTTGAAGAATCAAAAAAGGGAAAAAGAAATTACATAGTAATAGGCAAAATCACCTTTACCTTCAATTCACGAGACCGCCATGAGCAAATATAGAAGGGCAAAAAGCAGTCATGGGGAGAAGTTGGGATTCCACTTTCCAGTTTTCCACTTTGTCCCCAATTTCCCACTTGAACTGAATGGACAACCAATGTTCGTGCATGTCAAAATAGGCTATAATTGCACTGCACTATTGCATTTCCAGTGGCCATTCGAGACTTCTACCCAACTCCCAACCATTTGATGTATGGCTAATGGAGTTTAGAGTCCTCCATTTTTATTTGGGCTTCGGATAATTGTCACTGTTATAGTACTAAAACAATAGTACTAACTACTAAATGAATGTGGCTGAAAGTATGTAATTTTTGTCCTTCACCTGAAGCATGAGGTGGGGATTGGGTGTATATATTGACTCTTGATTGGGACTGTGGAGAATATGGGACGCACAATGAAAATGTGCAGGATTTCCATGAGATTCTCCTAGCAAGTTTTGTCATGATTGTCAAAAAGAAAGAGAGAAAATGGCACAACAGGGAGGTACAAACACTTTAATCATGTTTAAGCCTAACCAATTTTTTAACATCATTGTAGAATTCTTTTTACTAAAAAACAAGACTTTCTTACAGTCTGTTGTTGATTACAGTCACTAAATGACACACTGAACTTCTTTTTTGGAAATACCTTCCTAAAGCTACCCACTTGTTCATATCCCAAAGCGAATTTATGGGCATTATACTCAATTATTTAGTTGTTAAATCACTTTATTACAACATGTTTTAATCAGTAATGAGGTTAATTAACTTTCCACCACACATGTTACATCTTGATACATGAAAAGCTAATCAAAATGAGCTCTCTAATGCACTTGCTTTGGTATAATTATTGCCCGGCAGATAGTCAGTTATGATGAGCGCTCTAATCAGAACTCATCTCATTTTCACAATGGTGAATCACATGAATGAATAATGATCAGTGTTCGAGCATCAAGAAAGCCAATCACAATATTTGTGTCTTCCCTAGTGAATGAAAGGGCCAACAGCGACTTAACTGAAAATGAATTTTCCACTTGCATGAAGAAATTGATTAATTTGAGCTGTAATAACATAGACAATAATCTCTTTTCCAAATCATGTGGTGTAGCAAGAACAAAAGGTCCATTTTTTGGGGAAGGATTCTGAAAGATTCCTTCATTTTTTCTGTCATTATGTGAAGAAAACTGGAAATGCCACATCAATGTAACTCCTGCCGACTAATAAATTGATCAGAATACATCCCTCCAAATAATTCATCTTGTTGTATTGTTTTTTACGGAAATAATTAAAGAGTGTTACTTAACTTTCATTAACAAGTAACAACTCAAAACTCTTTAACATTTTTTTTTCCCCTCTGTTCGAGTGAAACAAATCTCTGTTGAATTCAGTTACCAAAACACAGGACAACAACATAAAAAACATCTTGGGATATCCTTAAATCCTTGATTTACTTCATGATTTGGAATGTGATGAAGTGGATCCAATACCAACTGTGATTTGCAAAAACAAGCATATATGGAAACTTTGCCTAATTGGGAGGAAAGACAAAGCCAAAGTCAAAGCCATGGTGGTCAACTTCCAGTTCTTCTTGCCACGTGGCACTGAGGAGTGAGATGAGGTCCCCCATGTCGGGTAAACGGGATCCCCCAGAATTTCCACCTAAAAAAACGGCAATACCTCAAAGCTGGGATCGCCATTTCCCTCGGAGCCATTTACCCACAAACGGCCCTCCCTTTTCCACTACAACGTTAGTTTTACTTTTACCTTCTTGTTCTTCTTCTTCTACATCTAGTTCCTTAGGCTTATTAGTCTTTGTTTTGTTTTGTTTTTCTTTTTTTTTTTTTGGGTTGTCATTTATAGGAAAAATTGCTTCTTTTTCCTACTAATTTTCTTATTCTTCTGGAGAATTGTGACGTTTATTCAATTGGGTTTTGTTTAATTCAAACCAGAAAGTCGGCAAAGCAACAATCTTGATATGTGTGCTTGTATGAAATTCTTTAAAAGTCGAAAAATTGGGAGAAAAACTTAAGTGCAAGTGGAAGCCTGGATGGATCCCTTATTATGATGATCTTGAGTTAGTTCCAAGAAACACTTGTACAGCTGTCCATGTGATGTAGCTTCTGAGAGGAATTTGTTTTGGGTTTGGATCAAACTGTAAAATTCATATAAAAATTTACTTAGCTGTATGAGCTAAGAAGTGAAGAAAAAAAAAATCCCTCGGATGGTGTTTTTGTTGATCGGGTTTTACTTAAAAGTGTAATTTTGGAGGAGAAGGAGAAAAAGAAATGGCACCCGGGACGAGTGGGGCACCACATCATGGTGAATTAAATGATGGGTTCAGTAAAGATAAGGCATCTATTAACGAAAATGAAGTTCATGAGCCAGATATGGATGATCAGAACATGGCAAAATTGGGGAAACCGCCAAGAAATCTTCCTTTGATGAGGCATTGCATCAGCCATGCCATGTTGGCAGGTACCTCAGTCTTGGTGAGTAGATCTCTGTCTTTTGGTTTCTGCATTTCTGGTATCTGGATGCTTGGTTCTAGGATGAAGTTAATAAGTGATTTAGGTGGCATGGTTTTTTTGAGATTCTTTGTTTTCAACTTTGAAACTTGTCACATTGAGATCTTTTAGGAGAAATTGATAACTTATGGTTTTAGCTATCCTTGATGTTTTTAGTGATGCAAATGGTTGAGTTTCTGCAGCATTTGGGACACAATACTGAACTCTGTCTCCATAATTTGCTAATCGAAACTGTCATCTAGTTTGCTACTTCATGGGGCTCTTTGTTTGGCATGCATTGATCTAATAGGCAAGATGCAATGATTTTAAAGATAGATTGGAATTGAAGTTTTGTTTGCTAAAATCAGTTCTTATGAAACCTCGATCACATCTTTGGATTCTGTCGATCAGTGACCTAATATATGGAGTTGATCCCCTCTTAATGACACGATTTACTCTTGCAGGATCTACCCAATGGAGCTGTTGGTCGAGAACAATCAGGGGAGAGTTCTGGATTTTCGCCTGTATTCCGCTCAGGGAGCTGTTCTGAGAAGGGCCCCAAGCAGTATATGGAGGATGAGTTTATTTGTATAGATAATCTTCGTGAACATCTTAGTGAAGCTTCAAAAGTCCACTCTTCTGGAGCTTTTTATGGGGTACTTACTTTCAGGCTTTGGGCTGTTGTCTTCATGCCTCATCAGATTATATGGATATAGTTGGTAGATAACTTATCTAACTGGTTTTCAATGCTTGCCAATGGCTACTGTTTAAATTTTTAAGGAATGTCTTGTCTTCACATCATGCCAATTTGTAGTCGTCAATATGAATGCATAACTTCTGTCCCACTCCAGTTCTTGTAGTTAGGGTTTCTTAATGTTGCATTTGATTTGTGTTGGAGTAGAATTCTTCATCAGTTACTGACATTATTTCAACTCTTTAAACTTCAGGTCTTTGATGGGCATGGTGGTATAGATGCTGCCTCATTCACGAAAAGGAACATCCTCGAATTTATTGTTGAAGATTCATATTTCCCATCCTCAATTAAAAGGGCTATTAGAAATGCTTTTGTAAAAGCTGATCATGCACTAGCTGATGCCAGCTCTCTCGATAGAACCTCTGGCACCACTGTGATCACTGCCCTTGTTTTAGGACGGTAAGGAATTTAATTACCTTTAATGACTATATTTATTTATCTGATTTGATGGAGCAAGTACAAACTGGTGTTATAAATTGCTGGCTTTTCAATTAGACTATGTTGTCATCTATTTCCGAACAGATAGTGCGAAGAAGTATATCAATAAAAAGGATGGAAAAGAGAATTGTTCTTTTCTTTTCCTGTTTAAAGTAATCAGGCAGCAAAAAGAACTCCATGTTTGATTTTCGTACCTGGCATTATTTATATTGTTTCCCAGTATGGTTTTGGGGGTTTGTCATGAAATAGCGTACGTGTACTCTGCTGGGTCTTTCTTGCCTTCATTAACATCCTTTGGTGATTCTAGATTGCTTATTTAAATTCAGATTTTGAATGATAGTTGAGGGTTGCAAACCTGAGCTTTAAGATCTCTGGAGTTTCATCCTAATCAGGCAAAGATGGCCATTAAAAAGCTGTCAATTATTTTGAAGAATTTTATGCTCGTTTTGTCTTCTGCTTGTGTTAATATTCTCTCAACTTTGATAGTTTTACATCTTCCGCTCTGCATAATGCAACACTTCCAGTTCCTTCATAAAAGATGTTTGCCTACCATAGTTTGGAAGAAAATCTAGCTGCTGATTGCAACCCAGTTAATTTTCTTAGTAACAGCTCAAGAAGAAACCAATGTTGGCCTCCCAAATCACTGTAAAATATGCACTGTCTAGCTCCTCCGGACTTCTAGGAGAAACTCAATTCCCTTCATACCTTGATACTTTCATTTTCATAGTGAAGCAAATTTCTCTGCTATGTACTTCTACTTGTCTAAATTTATATATGGACTGCAACTTTTCAAGAAATCTTTGCAACTTTTGCTATTTTCTTTCTCTACAGCTGATTTCTTTTCTTTGATTATAAAAAAAAAAAAATTTAAAAAAAAAAGAAATTAGAAGTTGATTTTTTAAGTGCCGTGCCAATTGACAGGACTATGCTAGTTGCTAATGCTGGGGACTCGAGAGCAGTGTTAGGAAAACGAGGAAGAGCAGTTGAGCTGTCAAGAGACCATAAACCGAACTCTACTTCTGAAAAAATTAGAATCGAGAAATTAGGAGGTACCATCTATGATGGATATCTCAATGGCCAACTATCAGTTTCACGCGCTCTTGGAGATTGGCATTTGAAAGGTCAGAAAGGTGCAAATTTTCCCTTAAGCTCAGAACCTGAGATGGAGGAGGTGGTCTTGACGGAAGAAGACGAGTTTTTGATAATAGGGTGTGATGGGCTGTGGGATGTCATGAGCAGCCAGTGTGCTGTGACAATCACCAGGAAGGAACTCATGCTGCATAATGATCCTGAGAAGTGCTCAAAAGAGCTAGTCAGGGAGGCACTCAAGCGCAACTCGTGTGATAATCTAACAGTTGTTGTGGTGTGCTTCTCTCCTGATCCACCACGCAGAATTGAAATCCCTAAGACACAGAGGAGAAGGAGCATTTCAGCCGAAGGTTTGGATCTTTTAAAAGGTGTCCTCAGCAGCAATGTATGAGAGGGAAATGTCAAGCGATCATAGTGGTAGATAGATGAGAAGCTTAAACCATTCTTGAGGGATTTTTCAGGATGTTAAAACTGCACTCCCTCACCTGAGACTGATGGGTTGATGGAAAGCAAAGAGCCTTTACATCTGAGAGGTTTTCAGAAGGATTTCAACATGAAAGGAAGGAGTCATCTTGAGTATCCGGTAGTGATATTTTTTCTTTTTTTTGGGTATTGCAGCTGTGATAGATTTTAGCTTCAAAGTTTCAAATCATAAAAATGAAAATGGTTCTCTATGTACTTGAATCTTCACGGAAAGTATAGAGGATTAAGAAGAAAAAGTTTATTAATACCCCTGCTTTGAGTCTTTGGATAAAGTGTAGCAGGCTTGCAGGAACTTTGTCTTGTGTAAGTTTTGTTCTCGAATGTAGTTAGAATGAAAACTGAACTGAGAGAAAACTAATAAACTGGCTGTAGATCTTTTGCAGATGTTATAGTAGCTTTTACTAATACTTCTACACAAGGATATATTTGGCACTTAAATGTTGCCCCTTCTTTTGGCATTTTTATGCAAGTTTGGAATGTTCTTTTGATCAAGAACATGGAATTTCTATCCATAAACTTTTTACCATAAAATTCAGAAATAATAGTAACAAAATACACAAAATTAAAGGGTATGTTTGTTTCGTTTCTTTTTTGTGTGTTTTTAGGTGTTTTTTGTATTGGGGATGTAAAAAAGTGTATTGAAAATGTAAAAAGTTATGTTGGAATGGGACAGTTATTATTTTATTAATCTAAAAAAACCATTAAAAAAAAAAAAAAAACTAAACAAACAAAAATTCAGTGATGCAGAAGGATGCCTAATTGGAATGGATCACTGACCCAATCAAAGAAACGACTACACATGTGGGCTCAATGAAACGGCCCAACCAATAACGGCCTGGTAAAGAAAAACCTCAAAGACTCTTCATCTGCCTAAAACCTCCGCCCCGGCACACCAAATCAATTCGCATCATTTCCGGAAGCTATGGCGTCCTTGAAAGAGATCTTAACACGCCGGCCGGTGGCGGCTACGATCCGTTTGACCGTCCCAGCTGGCGGAGCACGGCCAGCCCCTCCCGTGGGTCCAGCTCTGGGTCAGTACAGGCTGAATCTGATGGCCTTCTGCAAGGATTTCAACGCCAGGACCCAGAAGTACAAGCCGGACACTCCCATGGCGGTGGTTATTACGGCGTTCAAGGATAACACATTCGAGTTCACGGTGAGATCGCCGTCGGTGACTTGGTACCTGAAGAAGGCGGCCGGGATTGAGAGCGGGAGTGGGCGGCCGGGTCACGTGACGGCGTCGACGATAACATTGAAGCACGTGTACGAGATTGCGAAGATTAAACAGCAAGATCCTTATTGTCAGTACATGCCTTTGGAATCCATTTGTAAATCGGTTATTGGGACCGCGGGTTCCATGGGGATTAAGGTTCAGAAGGAGCTCGATTGATGATTGTACTCTTTTTTGTGCTTTGTAATCTTTATTTTGTTCTAATGAAATGAAAGAACCCTTCCCGAATTGGCGATCAATGCCAGAGATCCTTCCTGAATAATTAATTCTTCAGTGATTTTTACAGTGGATTTAATTTGTTATTATTTGGTTTATTCTGCCTTCCAAAATGTTGTCTTTTCAACGATTTGTTTCAAAATTGATTTATTAGTCTTCTGTTGAGCAAAATGTGAAGCCAAATTGGGTTCAGCAAGTATTGGAACAAAGTGCCAATGCAGAAAAAAAATAATAAAACATACGAGACTAATGCAAATTGGTGATTGCTTACCACGTGTTTGTTGAATTTACTAATACAAAGATGACCGATGTGGTTTTCCATTTGTTACTCCGGCTAGCGTTTAGTCTTTTTAAGTTGTAGGAATACGTTCTAACTTGTTAGCTTTCCTGATAGAACAGCATTTTCCTGCTCATCAAGTTCCTCTACTTTGCTCGAGTATAGAAGAAAGGAAAAAAAAAGAAAAAAAAAGGAAGTACCAGAAGCGATTCCTACAAACCTTCAACAAAGCAACTCTGAACAGGTTCTCCTCTGAGACTGGCTTTTACTGCAAATTAGATGCCCAAGATTTCTACTAGTTTCTTAAATTCCTTCAACAAAGCAATACTCAAAAGACCAATCTTTAGTATTCAGTCAAAACTTATATCTACTTCACCTGTGCCCACCCACCAGCAGATAGCCCATCTCATTTTAGAGCAGAAAACAGCAACTCTAGCGTTGCAAACCTTCAGATGGGCATCCAAAGTTCCCAGCTTTACGCACACTCAAGCCACCTATAGAGCTTTGATTCACAAGCTCTGCACTTTCCGCCGTTTTGATATTGTTCAAGAGCTGCTCGACGAAATGTCTAGCTCAATCGGGTCTCCACCTGATGAAGATGTATTTATCACTATTGTCCGTGGTCTTGGCCGGGCAAGAATGATCAAACAAGTTATCAAAGTACTGGATATGGTGTCTAAGTTAGAAAAGAAACCGTCTTTGAAGCTTTACAATTCTATACTCGATGTTCTCGTGAAAGAAGATATTGACATTGCTAGAGAATTTTATAGGAAGAAAATGATGGCTAGTGGTGTTCAGGGTGATGACTACACTTTTGGCATTTTGATGAAAGGTCTTTGCTTGACTAATAGGATTGGGGATGGGTTCAAGCTTTTGCAAGTACTGAAGACTCGGGGTGTTACGCCTAATGCTGTGGTGTATAATACACTCCTCCATGCACTTTGTAAAAATGGTAAAGTTGGGAGAGCTAGGAGTTTGATGAGTGACATGACAGACCCTAATGATGTAACTTTCAATACAATGATATCTGCCTACTGTAAGGAGGAGAACATAGTTCAAGCTCTTGTGATGTTGGAGAAGAGCCTTAGTTGTGGTTTTGTCCCTGACGTGGTCTCAGTGACTAAAATAGTCGAAGCTCTTTGCAATGGAGGGCGTGCCTTTGAGGCAGTTGAGATCTTAGAAAGAGTGGAGGAGAGGGGAGGAACTCTGGATGTTGTTGCTTACAACACTCTGGTGAAAGGATTTTGCAAATCAGGTAAAGTGAAAGTTAGTCGTCGTGTAATGAAAGAAATGGAGTTGAAAGGTTTTCTGCCGAATGCAGACACATATAATGCACTGATGTCTGGGTTATGTGACTCTGGAATGTTAGATTCTGCCCTTGAAACGTTCAATGAGATGAAAAGTGCTGGCATAATTTGGAATTTTACAACGTATGATACTCTAATCCGCGGTTTGTGTTCAGCTGGAAGGACAAATGATGGATTTAAGATCTTGGAACTAATGGAGGACAGTAAATTGGGTTCTGGTGGTCAAGTTAATCCTTACAATAGCATAATACACGGTTTATATAAGGAGAATCGTACTGATGAAGCTCTTGAATTTCTGGAAAAGATGGAAAAGTTATTCCCAAGAGCTGTAGGTAGGAGCTTTGAAATACTAAATCTTTGTGATGAATGTAGCATTGAGCAAGCAAAGCAGGTTTATGCAAAGATGATGGAGGAAAACAGTGTTCCAAGCGCTCTTGTTTACGCAAAGATGATTCAAGTGTTTTGCCAGCAAGAGCTACTCAAGGAAGCATTTGAAGTACTCAATGAGATGATCGTTCGAGGCTATTCGCCGTCTGTTTCAACTGTTAATGCCCTGATGAGTGAGCTTTGCAGGCAAGGCAAAATTGGAAATGCTCTAAAACTAATGGAGGACATGACAGCAAAAGGTTGTTCCCCTAACTCTGATAGTTACAGCCCCATGATAGTTACACTTTGTAGTAATGGGAATTTTCAGACAGCTCTGATTTTACTACTGCAAATGGTGGAAAAGGGTATAGTTCCAAATTACGCTATTTGGAATGCCATTGTCGTGTGCCTTTATCAAGAAACTGGATCATCATCAGTCGGCAACAAGATCACGTCTCCTCTAAACAAGCAATTGGATTGTCTGATAAGAACCTGAAGTTTCTTCTGATCCAATCCACAAATCTTTTTCCCTCTTCCAGACCATCATGGCATAAAGAGTTCAAATCATTGACCAAGAAGAAACCAAGAAAAGAAGCCGTCGGTATCAGACCATTAGGCTAAAAAAGAGGTTACAATTTTTCAACCATATCGAGGAGTATATGTTTGAATGATTTTTCCTTCTCCTAATGTATTCATCAGTTCGTTATGGCAGCTTGGTTTGTCATATTTCTGCGTCCAGCTAGATTAGATTAATCATTCACACTCGAGGAATGGAAAAGCTCAACGTTTGTTCATAATCAATGAAGATTTTTCTTTTCCGGAATAATATCTCAATATTAAAAACCAAATTCAGTGTACTTTCTCTACTTTCCGTACTTGATTGAGTTCATTTCTTTAATCGCTGTTGTTTCCTTGTCACTGTTGCTTACGTTTTCTTTCTCCTTTTAAATCTGTCTGCTTCTTCCCCACCGTCCCCAGCCCACAAGCTGTAATGAAAAGGACAATTTCCCCATAAAGATGAAAAGACCATTAAAAAAGAATACTTATTCTAAAATCTAAATACACCAGTATTCCAAATACTATTATTTTACCAGAAAACTACGAAAATGTATAAAGAAGTCGTTGTCGAATTATGGTGCTGCATGGGACGCTTTTTCCTGCCACCTGCTGCGATGCATCCCCTAAATCGCGACAATGACCAAAACTAAAAGCGAAGAAACGTCTCAATGACCATTATTATTAGATTAGATCTATATTAAAATCGCATAACAAGAAAGACTCGAAATCCCTGACCAATTCTCTCCTCCTCTCTCATCCACCCTTTTTCATCATCATCATCAACAACATTTGGTCTGTGAAAAATTCATTTCAATCGGACTGAAACCTAGGAATTCAGTTTTTGGAACACACGAAGCTGAACCCATATCTTCATCTTTCATCCTCTCCCCGGGCTCTGATTGTTTTCATTTGCTGATTGTGATATTCCAATTTTATAGTAGTAATTGGGGAATATAATAATCATGGGATTTGAGAAAGATGAAGCAAGTTCATCTTCACATGTTCTAAACATTCCTAGGGAAGAAACTCCACTCCTTTCCTGCGACCAACATCTTTCATCTCCCGCCAAGACGTTTGCTAATGTCTTCATAGCCATAGTTGGGGCTGGCGTTTTAGGCCTTCCTTATACTTTCAAGAAAACAGGATGGGTTATGGGCGCAATTATGCTTTTCTCTGTCGCCTTTTTCACCTATCATTGTATGATGCTTTTGGTTAAAACACGCCGGCGCCTTGAATCCAAGAAATCCAGTACCAAAAAGCTCTCCTCCAAGATCTCATCTTTTGGTGATCTTGGCTTTGCTGTATGTGGTCCAATCGGCAGGTTTGCCGTTGATGTCATGATTGTTCTGTCTCAGGCTGGTTTTTGTATAAGTTATATGATCTTTATTGCAAATACCTTAGCATACATATTCAATTATTCTCCAACTGATCCCACTCCCAAGATCTTGGGGATTTCTCCCAAAGTGGTGTATATATGGAGCTGCTTTCCATTCCAACTGGGATTGAACGCAATTCCAACACTGACCCATCTGGCCCCTTTGAGCATCTTTGCTGATGTTGTTGATCTTGGAGCTATGGGAGTGGTGATGGTTGAAGATGTTCTTATTTTTCTGAAAAACAGGCCCGCTTTGGAAGCTTTTGGTGGGTTCAATGTGTTCTTTTATGGCCTTGGAGTTGCTGTATATGCTTTTGAAGGTATTGGAATGGTATTGCCACTGGAAGCAGAGATGAAAGATAAGCAGAAGTTTGGTAAGATATTGGGAATCTCCATGGCTTTCATATCTTTGATGTATGGAGGATTTGGAGTGTTGGGTTATTTTGCTTTTGGAGAAGAAACTAAAGATATCATCACTACCAATTTGGGATTTGGTTTGCTGAGCACCCTTGTTCAGTTAGGATTGTGCATAAACCTATTCTTTACGTTTCCACTGATGATGAATCCAGTATATGAAGTGGTGGAGAGGAGGTTTTGTGAAGCCAGGTATTCCTTGTGGCTTCGGTGGGTGATTGTTTTGGCAGTGACTTTGGTTGCTTTACTGGTACCAAATTTTGCTGATTTCTTGTCTCTAGTGGGTAGTAGTGTTTGCATTATTCTTGGTTTTGTTTTGCCGGCGTTGTTCCACTTGATTGTGTATAAGGAAGAGTTGGGGTGGCCGGAGTTGACTCTGGATGTGGCAATCATTGTGTTTGGTTTAGTACTATCTGTTTCAGGAACATGGTCTTCCTTGCTGGAAATTTTTGCAGCCAAGGCTTGACCAAACGATGCTGTTTCTCTTTGCAAAAGATTTTATGATTGCAAAGTGCATTTTGTAAAATTCATCTGAAATACCAAGAACACAATGGTTGTATTCATAAATACAAGGTGTTGTTTTGTTCATTGTTCTGTTTGTTTTCTATTTTGTGTTGTAGATATCATATCACCCATATCTAATGCGTTGAGCGAGAGTAGATTGAGAATTAGGGTCTTGAGTTCAGCGTGATGAGTTCATAGAGTTTTTGAGGGGTCCAAAGGCCAACTTTATTCCTTGGAAGCAAAAATTTGGACTCATTTCATTAAACTTTCAATCTGTAAAGATGATAGTAGTACACATTTTACACAGCTAAGAAATAAATAAGACTGAGCACCACTAAAGTTTTGTTCAATATGGAAAAATACAATATAAGAATGAATAGAAATAACCAAAGTGATAAAATTACAAGGCCGGGGCTTTGTGACGAATTCACAATCTCTACAAGGAACAAACGGAACAAGCAAACTCGCCAAACCTACGCCAGCTAAACCTCCGAAAAAATTACCTTTATAATGAACACACACACTGCCTGCATCAAATGTATATAACGACAAATTGCTCAACTAAAAAGCACTCCAAGTACCAGAGTCTCTCCTTGGCGTCTGACTATCAAACGATGTCTTAAACGGATCATTCCAAGTATCAGAATCTCTCCTTGGCGTTTGACTATCGAAAGACACCTTAAAATGATCATTCCAATCAACCTGGCTCCTTGGTGTTTCACTTTCCAAAGATGTCTTAAAAGGATCATTAGATCCAAAAGGATCAGCATCATCAAAAGATGAAAATCTATGACCAAAATCAGAATCTTTGTTACTAACAGTAGAATCAAATCTAGCCATCGTTGGCTCGCGAGGTGGGAAAAGGCCAAAATTGTAATCAGAATCTGCCATGCTGCGGAAGGAATCAAATCTTGTCAATGAGTCACGCGTCGCAGAAAGGCCATTATCATATTCAGAATCCCTGGAGCTGCGCATCGAATCAAATCTTGAAAAAGCCATGGGCATGGGCTCTCTTGGTGTAAATAGGCCACCATCTTGCATATTGAAGGAATCAAATCTTGAAAAGCTATCGAAAGAACGTTCTGCCCCTTCAAATCTTCGTGGGGAATTATTTGAACTGTACATTGGTGTGCTTGGTACGGAGTCTGCAAAAAAGGTACTGTTCCTCTGGAATATATTTTCTCCAACAGGGGAGTTGCCCGTATTGTAACTAGGGGTACTTGGTACAGAATCAAAGAATGGACCCTGTTTCTGGTAGATGTTTTCAGTGCGAGGGGGGCCTGTTCTAATAGGGTTTAAGTTCCAGTCATCAAAACCAAAAGAAGAATTCTCATTTTGCCTCTCAGAATCCACATCCTGTAGAAACATAAAACAAGTAAACTGTCAGACTTAAACAATCAGGAGTTAAACTCACGTTTCACAAACAAACCGGAGATTGAAAGATCATTTGACTTTTGAAGAATGAAATAAACAAAATGGCAAAGTATTAGAGGGAGTAAGCTCCATGGTCCAAGAACTTTGGCCCTCATAATCTTCCCTGTAATATCATACGACCAGCAACTAACTGGAAAAATGAAGAACCATTTAATCTGACCAAGCAGGAATAATATGAAAATGTTCATTAGCTGACAGGTGGCATGACTAGAAGGTTACAAGGCACAAGACATAATTTGTCACCTTCTTTAAATGATTGAAGTCCAAGGCACCATCAGTATCATATTGTGAATCAAACGCATCCCAGCCAGGTTCATCAAAACCTCTGTCAAATCTAGATTCGTGACCCCCATGCTCACTGCATTAGCATACAAAGTATACGAAAAAGACGTTACAAGGGAAACCAAGGAAGGAAAAACAAAATATATAAATAGATAGGACACCTCTAGCTACATGATTAAAATACTACCCTTCACAGTTTCAGCAATAGTGAGCTATCAGAAACTAAAGCAATTCCAATTGGTCAAACAAAATATGCGTGGGTGAAATTGTTTGTCAGAGGAGAAACATAACAGTGACCACATTACCTATGATTAGCATGGGGTGAACCATCAAAACTGGCGTCCTTTTTGAAACGGTCTTCAAACTCTTTATATTCACTCTCGAGAGCATTATTACGTACTGGACTCTCCGATGGACTGCTAGCTGTCTCGTCACCCTGGGCATCCACTCTATCATTCTCATTCTCAGGTTTCCTCTCCACGTTCTCTGACTTGTCATCAGCACCAGATAACGGTTTAGCAATTGTGTTTCCATCTCTTGAAGATTCTAAATCTTTCAATGTGGACTTGGGTTTAGGTGGAGCTATGACATTTTGCACATCCAGGGTGAGCTCTTTGACAGTAACAAATCCTATAATGTCAAAAACCAACAAACAATTAGCCAACTGTATCTCATGGCAAGAACTCCGTAGAAGCCAAATGAATATCACATCACAAGTAACTTATCCCTAATACCTTCATCTTCAAACAAATCCCACTTCTCATCCCAATCAGCGGCTCCTTCTTGGACACCAGGTTGCCAACCTTTCAAAAACCAGAATGACGGAATGAATTATGGAAGAGTAAAAATCTTGAGTTGTATAGTTAGAACCAATCGACGAAAATAACAAAGAATCAAAATCTTATTCAACTTTCAATTAGCCAATAATCCCATTTCAAGCATCTCAATCACACAACTATAGCCGATTCAACTAACTGTTTCACAGAACGCATCATGATATGTAACCAGCTACTGTTAGAAAATCAATAACAGATCACCAAAGTAGTCAAACTTTCAAACTAGTACTATAGTTGTATCAAAAGCTACAACAGCGTCCCACATCACACCATAGTTGCAAATTGTTCCGTAAAACAAGTAAGACAACTGACACAGAAATTCATCAACATATAATTACTATGGTTGCCTATCTGGAACAACTATCATTCTGCAGTAAAGTTGTGTCACCAACATTTAGTAAGAACAGCCAATCGTAGTTAGTGGAAACACGAAATACTCAAGATTTTGACTTCAGATGTCGTGTATTATTCAACAATTTCAGCAACCACTCACATCAGCCTCAATAAAAGATACACACATGGCAGGACTCTTAATATAGTACTTAACAAAGAAGAAACAGAAAAAGAGAGGGGGGCGGAAGAGAGAGGAACCAACAATCTCATCAGTGTCCCATAGGTTGATACAGTTTAGGTTAGTGAAGCCAAGCAGTGGCCATGATGAACTTTGCCAGGATATAAAATTATGTAAATGAGTGAGCCAAGATTAAGCTTTTACATGTCAAAATTTGTCTGCTTTCTCAGCAGTAAATGAAAAACTAACTCAGTACGTGACTGATCCAAGCTAAATAAGGGAAATTTGTCCATAAGCAAAAGCAAGATAATGGCAGCGGAAGTACCAAATGGCAGCTCAACCAATGATGTTGGTTTGGCACGTAATCCATAAGTTTTGCAACGTTCATTAAGTGCTTTTACAAGTTCCTCCAGCTCCGACTGTATACGGTTAACCCGCTCCTGAGAGTATAAAACTTGAGCTCAGAATGGTAACATATCAGCGTAAACTGACTCAGAATGAAGAGGGAAAAACTAAATAAATAAATAATAATAATAAAACAATTGAAGTGGGTACCTCAATACCATCACCACCACCATCCTGTTCCAGTTTGACAATTGCTCGATATAGCTCCATCTTCTTATCCTACAAAAAATTTAAGTGACATGACAATATCAGATCTTTTAATAGAGATAAAAAACGGGAACTTCTTGAACTTTAAGAGGTGAAGAATCTCGACGCATGAAGAAGGCAATTGTAAAATTTGTAGCACAATGTAGGTACGCAGAAAAACACGAATTACCTGAATGTCTCGGAATGTGGCCTCTTCTATAGTCAACTTGGATGCCACATCTCCAGCCTGCCGGTATTTCTCTTCATATTTCTTTCCCAATGACTCAACCTGAAATAAAAGACTCCCATCAGTCAAAAATCAACTAAACAGCATACTGCAACATTTGATAAGCATCAAAGAAGTATACCTCTCTCTTATCAGCAGAAACCCTTTCTGTGATCTCATTCAGTCGATTGTCACATCGGCTTTTATAGAAGACCTGAATGCCAATTACAGTGCAGAAATGCATAAGTAGAACTGTTTGGCCACTATTTGCAACCCAATGCAAGCCCAAATACAGCAAGTATATTAGCCTTTTCATGATAGCTATTAAACCATCACACCATTGCACCAAAGAATAGAAGAAGAGGCTTCTCCACACCATCGCCAAGTGCAGAAAGTGACAAATTAAAAGATATTCAAACCAAAACATGAATCCCAACACAACATTAAAACACAAGTAGAACCAACCCAGACATCCATTACAATGCTTACCAGAATCGCACTTGTAAAAAGAACTAAAGTAGAAAGGATATTTTATCGTCGAAGTATAAAACAGACCTTTTTCTAGAAAAGAAGAAATTATCAACTGCTGAAAGTGGGTAAGTAAAAACCAAAAACAAAATAAAATTAAAAACACATGGTTAATGTCCAGAAAAACAGAAGAGATACCCACAATTTCTTGCATCTTTGAATGATAGAACTGAATCTTTTCTCTTGCATCTAATATCTCCTTCTCCAATTCTGCGACCTGGAATTCAAAGAGCAAATGCACAAGTAAATAAAAATTTCAAACACTCCACTTCTCTGAAGAAATAAACGAAATGCAGTGGAAACTAGTGGAACTTCAATTGCTGGAACTAGAAAGGAAATAATATTCACCATCACCAGACAGGGTCAATTCCATTATTTATGAGCCTAGAACTCTAAGCAATACTAAACCACCGCTACTCAAACCAAGGGAGGGGGTGGGGGAAGAAAAACATGAACAAAATATGAAGTTATGACTCATGAATATCCTTGACTTCAGTTTGCCATAGAGAAACAGAACAAAGATCAGCAAATTCGAAAACAAGAAGACTTCCCAAAACTGACCTTCTTTTCTGCATCAGATGCTTCCTGGAATTTTGAATTCAGCGAATTCTGTTCTTCGCTGCTTAGTTGATCTAAGAGATGCTTTTCCAGAACTGGAACTTTTGGTTTTTGCTGACGACTTGGTTGCATGCCATCATCAGGTAGAGGAACAGGAACTGGACGAGGTGGCTTCCCAGGAAAAGCACCTGGTTGAACTGCCCTAGTCGTTTGTGGTTGTTGGTAAGCTGAGATAAATTAAACAGATTACAGAACTCATACAAATTGAACAAATGACTCCATGATGCTCTAGGTAGACAGTTTAATACCAGGATTAGCTCTCCAAGCAGCATTATCATGCGGTACAACAGTTGGGATAGAAGCAGACAGTGCCTCATCAAACATTATACTACTCGGAAGCTCAGAAGGAAGAGGGCGGCCTTCACGATACCGTTCCATCAAATAGAGTGCTATACAAAATTCTTTTAAGGAAAGCTTGCTGTCTTTGTCTTGATCAGACAAATCCCACACCTGTTTTAAGACCTCTAAAATAGGAACACATGAAAACGTTGATACAGTGCGTTAGGAAGGAGAAACTTTTTGAACAACAGAATCCATGCAAGAGAAACAGCCTCAGAAACTAAGTTTACAATAATGAAATTGATGCAAACACTTTATGCTAAGACAAATAACAGCACAGGACATGCAATCAAAATGGTTAGGATGTATCAGCTAATATGTACATGCATCCCAAGTTCCTGATGACATTTAACTGATAGAAGATACATAATGGGCAAAAAAAAGCGTTAATTAAATAGATGACTCGATCCATTCATAACCCCTGATTCACTTAGGTTGCATGCTGTTAAGAGAGCTGGATCCTACATGGTCCATTTAAACTATCCACCAGTTAAACAACAATGCCAAGAACAAGGTGAATCACTAAACCAAGGATCTCATCTCTTCCAAGGAAGGGAAAACATGGTCGTATCTACAAGCAAGCACGATCACAGATAAGTTTCCAAGTAATGACATAGATTTTTGCAACTTTAAAAAACAAGTAAAACATTAATGAGGTAACAGTAACTGGACACAACAACAATATAAACAACTGAGGCTTTATCCCACTATGCAAGATTGGATATATGGACCATATGTTGCCCACGTTCTGTAAATACACATGTTCTAGTAAGTTAAAATCGGAACAAAATACTGTCATTGAAACAGTATTTCACATACTATCTAAGAAAGAAACAAGCGACACATTGATTTATACAAAATTGTGTGTGAGGAGAGAGTGTGCACAATATTACGCAGTCCTACCTCTTGGTTGCCTCCAGCTAAGGAAAAGGTTTCGAGCCTGTTCGCCGGTGATTTTTCCATCACGGTCGGTATCCACTTGCATAAACACTTTGCTATATTTTTGAATGTCGGACTGGGTCATCCTTGGCCATGCAACCTGGGACTCTGCGGTGGAAGAATTTCCTGGGCCACTACGCAGTCCTGGGGTTGCTTGCCCTGTTACTTGGTTGTTTGGCTTGGCTGGTATTTGCCCTTGATGTTGACCACCCGTAGGGGGATGAGGAGGTGTAACCTGCAGGGAAGAATCAAGGGGGCTTGATTTCATTATGGATTGCACTCCCACCGATGTTGGGACAACGGTTGATGGCACAGAAGAACTGATAACACCAGATGGGGCATTGGAAGTCTCTGGTTTTGCTTGAGCGGGTGTGACTGAAAACACATCTCCAAACAACGAGTCTGAAGCATGTCCATTTCCTACAACAGTAAGTGCTTTGGAATCTTTTGTTTCCACCTTGTTATCAAGTGAAGTAACACTTGGCCTAGGTTGAGCAGGTTGCACATAACCCGAAGTTGCTTGGGCTCCAGGCTGTGTAGAAGTTGGTAAACCAGATGGAACCAAGGCAAGACCATCCTGACCAGTCGGTCCTACGCTTCTAACAGGTTGAGGAGGACGCGCTGCCTGCGGAACAACATTGTTTCCTCCAACCCAAGCAGAGGAATTTGGTGGTTGAGAAACTACATTTGAACCTCCATATTGAGGCATTTGTGGACCATTAACAACTGGTGGAGACTGGAAAGTAGCAGCAGGAGTTGGGGGTCGAGGAGGGCGCATAACTTGATTATGTTGGGGTGTAAAGCCAATTGTTTGAGGTGCAGGAGCAGCAGACGGCGGTGGGACAGATGATCTTACTGGTATGTTTGCTTGAGGGCCTGCTGTTGGTTTAAGATCAATCCTGGGAGGAGGGATTTGTGCGGAAGCTGGACTGAATAATGCAGCTCTTACAATCTCCGGTGTCAATTCTCGCTTACTTTGAGCTACGGTAACTAGCTTAAGAGCATTATAAAATTCTTGCCGACCAAGATAACCAGTTCGATTTTGATCTGCTATTGTCCATATCTGAACAAATTGGCAAATTAAACCGTTCAATCAAAATATGAAATATGCACCAAATTCCAGAATTTGATTGGTTTTTTCCCCCTATAAAAATCTCAATATTTCATTATGAGTCACATTGCAGAAGTTATGAGTTCAAATTATTAAATTAAACAAATGGGGAGTCATTCCAGTCAGGAACAACTTGTAGCGGCATACGAATAAAACAAAGACGCATGGAGTCCCTTCATGAAATGTATTTCAAGCTTCCACCTCAAAATTGGATGAAACAAACCCTCAATTGCTAAACGTAATATCTAAGTTGGGTGATAAAAACACAAGATATGTCTTAAGGAGGTAACAAAACAGAGCGTCAAACATAGATAAATATGTAAAAGCAACCTTCAAGGCAGCAGATAAGATGACGTGGTAAGACTCCATAAAACTTTCCCCTGTTCTCTAACAGCAAGCATCACAAAATTCTTTTATGTTTTTTAACCTACCGAGGTGTAAAAGCTCCGTGTGCGCTCTACTACTTACCCTAGATAACCTGACCAGGGAGACTTTCATGGAAGAAACAATTAATCTTCCTCTAACTCTCACTCAAATTACCAATGCAAGACTAAATTTACTAAAATCGGTTAATTATAGTGGAATATCCAGAAAGGAAACCACATCTACATAGACAAAACAATTTAACCAGAAATCACTAACTTGTGATCAAGCTAAGGCAGCATTTCAAGGCTAACGCATCATTCGAGGCTAGGTTTATGTTACAGATTCATGATTGTGGAGACCTATTTTGCGGAGACAGGCCTAAAAGAAAAAAACTTCTAAAATGAACTTCCCTTTTCCACTCGGCATAATGAGACATGCACTCTATTATCTTCCTCAATAGAATTTCTCCTGTATTGCATCATCTTTCCCAGCATTTCAGTTCCGACAATCAACTACCACTGACGGATACTATGCCCATGACTCTAGTTACTTGTCACTATAAACTCAAAATTTGTAAATTTCCAAACTGATAGGACAAAGTTACAGAGAAACACATCGAACGACTAAAGATTTCTACAATTTAACCTTAAGAAGGAAACAAGAGAAAAAAAAAAAAAAGGAAACAAAACGAATAGAACACATAAGCGAAGCTGAGTAAAGTATCCAGGGCACCTGAGCGAGAACTGGTCTAGGCAAATTGGTGGCTTCAAAGAACGAAACGGCTTCGTTTCCACTAATCCGACCATCCTGATCCACATCTGCTCTCCTGAAATAGAGCTCGAATTGATCCATATTGGGAGCTTGAGTCTGACCCTGAGCCATTTTCCCCACCCAAATCGATCCAAAAACCTGCTCGATTTCCGAGTTGGAAGAACAAGAAGGATGATAATAGTCAAGATCGCTGTAATAACATCACAACCCGTAAAAATTACACGGCCAGGGTTTAAAAGATCCGACAGTCGGCCGGGACGATGACGAGCTTATCGAAATTTTCAGTCGGAAAGACGGCCGAATGCCGCCGTGGGCGGTGGAGGACGGGATTTGGAATGTAATTGGGGAGGGGGGGGTGATTAATGATGATGATTGGATGGGTAGCACAAAACACAGTGCATCGATGTGGTGCGCGTGTTTTTGATTCAGTGATCTGATGATGATATTTGATCCAATCCAACCCAAAAGCCTCTCTCTTTTGGGGCTTGTTTCGAATTTCTTTTCTGTCCGGGGGTCCGAATTAAGGGAACGGGACAAATCTCGATTAATTTCGATGAAATACTGTAATTATCCTAATTGTACTTTTACCGATATACCCTGTCTCGATTAAAATTTACGTCTTTCTCTTCTTTTTTTTTTTGGCCTGAAATACATATGCTATTTGATTCTTTTTTTTGTTGGTTTTGTTTTTTGGATAGTTCTTTCATAATATTAAAATAATAAATGTCTCATCCCAGCATACTTTTTTACTTTTTCAATACAAAAAACACTTAAAAACACACACTAAAAAAACAAAACAAATGTTTATAACTTGTCACGTAAGTTGTCAAGATCATCGGTTCCTTGTATATGGTTCCTTTTTGCAACTAATCTCTCATTATAAATCACGATCTGAATTGATCTGAAATCATTACTTCGGACTAATAATTTAAAAATGTAGATCTACTCAAATGGAGAGGGTTGGTAATGAATATCATAAATATGACATAAAACGATAAAGAAATACAGCTCTACACAAATTGATATGTACATTACGTGAATTTCAAATCACATTTCCTCTCATTTTTATTATGTTAACATATCACATTTTTTTTAAGTATCAGTTTCGTATTAGTGTCGTATCGCTTGTAAGAATATGATATTAACATATAACTATTTCATATAGAAGAAAATTACGAGGGAACAAAATGATTAATTGGTTAGTTTGTAACCCATATAGTGAGGTTTATCTAGTCGGTTGGAAAAGAAAAATTATTGTCTATAGCTAATGGAATGAAGTGGTTACTATAAACTAAAATCGATTGATTAAGAAGCATGATATGGAATGGGCTCCCCGACATTCATACTTGTATGCTAAGAAGCAGCAATCAGAGCGAGCCAGCGATGTTAGATGGCGTCACTTCGCCGTTTTAGATAGGGATGTATATGTAGTTTGCCATGCATAAATATTGTCAAGGTTAATTAATTAAGTTAATCCTCTTACCTAATAAAGACAAATAACAAAAAATAATCAAATGCGAAGGTCGGCAGGTTACACCGCATTTGAAATAAATTTATTGCATTTGTTATCAAAGACTAGTATTATTTAGCGATTAGTTTTATGATTACGAATGTCATGTTATTCCCCATGCATATTTTATTAATATATATTGGTTAGTTATCATTTGTACGTATTATATATATATTAAAAAAGAGAGAATTTTTATTTTTATCCAAAATGATTGTAATGTATAATTCACGTGAAATTCTTTAATAATATTCTATTGTAATTACTAGGTAACAAATTAGTAGAAACTTGGTAAGTTATCTTCATGGTTTATTAATGCAGAACTTTAAGCCATATGATGTACAAATCCGGTTGTTATTATAAAACATAATTTAAGAATTCTCTCAGTTATATAGACATTTGATGTCTTTAAAGTTTTATTTTGTGAACTCTCACTTTTATCCTATTTAAATTGATTGAACTTTTATTTGATTGGTTCTTAAAAGTGCGAGGACCATTTTTTATTAAGGACAATATAGGTAGTTCACAAATATATACACAATAATACATGTATAACTACTTTCCTTAATTATTATAAATTAGTTTTTGGATTCGAATGTAGGAAATTCTAATTTTATGATGAATTATTTGACCATTTGGTTCAGGGTTCGCAGTGATTATGCGATCCGCTCCATACGAGTGTTTAACGTCGATAGCTTCCATGTACAGTACGAATTAATCTTTTGTTCTTGTTTTCTTTATTGTAACAGAAAAAAATAAAATAAAATTGAGAATAGTGCAGTGTAATTGTACTTTGAAAAGTAATTCAATTTCAGGTATTTCGAAATTGAGTAATTCACTAAAATCAACGGCCATCAGGTGATGGGAACTAGTTCAAAGATTGTTCTTCAAACTATTCATGCTGACATAATGCATTTTACTCGCTTAAAATGTCATGTCTATTGACTTTCTTTTTTTTTTTCAAAATTATTCATTGGGTGCGCTGTTATGACTTATGAGCAACAAATATATTGGCAGAAAATGTACTCTTCCAATCTCCAAAAAAAATTGTCTTGTATTGTATCAAAATAATGCAATGAACAAGCCTCCTTATAATTACAAACCCAAATTTAGCCCCTTGTTCCAATAAAAATCAAATCAACTTTGTTTGTTGATTTGCCAGTATAAGTATATGATGATACTGATACATCTGATTTTTCAATTTATAAAAAAACATACACTGTTATTTCAACAAAACAAGGTGTCGTTTTTTATTCAATCGGATGTCATAAACATTGCTCTGGGGCATAGTCCATTTCTCTCATTAAGATCAAGGCCCCATCATTATGGCACCATAAAAAGGGTGTGCTTCAGCTCTGCTGACACTGAATGCCGTGGCCCAAACAACAAAATTGCTTGGAGTCATAATCATTGCAATTCTCCAATTCCTTCCTGCCAGGGCGCCCACTTCACTCAATTATCACTAGTATTCGTGGAGATTCACTAATCAAATGGGTCCAAATAATCTGCGATCTGAACCATTGGATCTGTTTTCGTAAAAACAATACCGTTTCCTTTTCTTTTTCATATGTCTTCTTCATAAACTCTAAAAAAAATAGTTCATACTAGTATTAAATTTTGGAATTTATATTAAAAATAGTTTAAATTTCATGAAAAATTTTTGAGACAGAAATAGTATTATCTCCTTCATCGCGTCATTGGCGATAATTTTTTTTTGTAATTTTTAGGGACGTAAGATATTACTGATTTGCATGTTTTACAATTATAATGACTTTTAAGATGTTAAGGGCATCGCGAAGAGAAAATTGATGTGTAAACCAATGGGACAAGCCACAGCCGTGTACTGTCTAGTAACAGGTCACAGGTTTGTTTTACAATTTTTTTTCCCTACCATTTCCTTTTATTGCTAATGTTAGATACATTTTTGTACAATAAGTTCAAATTATATATCATTTGTGGGAGGTTTACCTCACTCTGTGTGAAGCATCGTCTTTGTAATGAAATGAAATGAAGTATACAAAAAAAAAAAAAAAAAAACAAACAAACAAAAAAACAGAGAGATAAAAAATTTTAAAGTGTAATGTCCCAAATATATTTATGTGCAATGACAACGATTAGTCAATAGATTTATATGCAACGAGAACAATTTGCATTAGTCAAAAAAAGAAAAAGAAGTCCAGTACTAGTAGATAATTAAATTTCCCAAGTGTAGAATCTTATTGAGGTTTAATAAATCATTGCAAAGTTGACATGTAAACTAAACTAGATTTGTCCGAGGCACCCCACTTAATAAATTGATGTGTAACTAAAAAAAAATACTCCCTCCTTCCCATAATTATTGTCCAGTTTTACTAAAATGAAAGATTTTATTTTTTGTCAAACTCAACTATATTTTACCTTAAACAACCAGATATACCCCTACATAAGTAATTGTTTAACCACTAAGATTTTATGGATAATGTTTTTTTACTAAGGACAAATGTGTAACTTGGTCCATAAAAAGTCAAATTGGACAATAATTTTGGGACAAAATTTTTTGCGCAAAGTGGACAATAATTATGAGACGGAGGGAGTATATCATAACAAAAAGTAAATAAATAAATCACATATATTTTAGCATTCTAAATAGTGATAAACTTGAAATAAAAAATTTATTCCCAATGACCGGGTAATCAACGGACCAAGAAAAAAAAATGATTATACCAACTGAATTTGATACAGAGGTTTAAATTTTGATTTTACTAATTTTTAGGGATTTATTGTGATCCGGAAATGTGACGTGGAAACTTTTCATTCGGATATAGACTTTTTTTTCATTTTTTTTATATGATGGTCAAATGATGTGTCACGTGTCAAACTGTTTATTCAATCTCATTAGTTTGGGCAATAATAACTTCATCAAAAATTACTACCTCATTTGTTTATACTGCTTTAATAGGGTAAAAGAGATACACATAGTTTATTTTGCACGAACTCGAGACATGTTTTCTTGATACAAGGCAAAACCACCTTATTTAGAACAACTTTAGCATAGAACTTTCTAAATAAGGGGCAAACCATTTAAGAAGAGAGGACGATTTTGGGGTGGATAAAAACAGGAAAAAAAATAGGAGAGAAAGAAACAGTCCAAAATGTTTTTTGCTTATTTTATATTCGTTGCGTGCAAAGAAGTTTTCCCATTGCAATATATGCATGCAAATTCTCACCAAATCCATTCCCCATAGGCCTTTGGCTTTTTTTTAAAAAATTATTATTTATTTTTTGGTCTTTGTTTTCAAAAATGTACTATAAAAGATTGCGATTTTTATTAAAAAAATCTTACAAGGAATATAATTTAATACAAGATATTTAAGATGCATCGTCTTATAGTGAAAAACTTAAAAACAAACATATTTCTAATACCAAAAAAATTAAAATAAAAAAAAATACCTCAGCAATATGAGGCCATGAGAGGATCGAGTGATACAATAAGAAACAAGGAATTGTTGTTTGCATGATACATTGAGATGTGTAATAGTATGGTTTTATAAAAACTTCGTAACAATACGGTAGTAGTGTTTTTTTAAAAATAAATAAAGAAAACACCACAACAAGTAAATTATAAAGACTTTTACAGCCATAGAGTTTGATGATTGATGGAAATAATAATGAACGTCACCTTAATCAATTTAATATTTCTGAATTTGATTAAAGCAAATGGCAGTTGGCTCAACCATATCAACTCCTTCCCCCAATCGATTAGTCCACTCCAACTAATATATAACCTTTTCTCCCCCACATTACCACTCACACTTCTTTCTGTAGTAGTACTATTTTTTTCATACATTTTCTACATTATCTAGATAATTATACATTTTCCAAAAGAAAAGGAAATCACCGAAAAGAAACTCCACAATCCAACCTAAAAAAGGGCAAAGTCGGAAAGCAAATCCATTTCCTCAGTATAAATACAATTTAGTAGTAGTAATTAAAAAATAATTTTGATAAATTAGTTTTTTTTTTTTTATAAAAAAAAAGGGTAAAAAGCAAGAGCAAAAAGTGGAGCGAGTCTTGTATTGAAGGCCACATGCTTAAGTTTATTTACACGCAAAACTACGCAAATGATTTTCTCTTCCTTCTTTTCAGTTCCGTCTTAAATCTTAAAAATTCTTTCTCTTCAATACTCTTCCCCCACCCCCCACTCTATTTATTTCGATTTATATTTCTCGATATTTTTTCCTTTTGCTTTCCATTTCTAACTCATAATTTCTTCATTAGATTATACAGAATACAAAGAGAGGTAATAAGAGATCAACCTGGGAAAGAAAAAAGTGAGTAGGAAGAAGAGATCGGAATATAATAATATAATAATCAAACAATATGTCTTGTTCGTCGTCGTCGGCGTCGGAGGATGAGGATGAGGGCATCGATTCTTACCGGAAAGGCGGGTACCACGCGGTGCGTGTCGGCGATTCCTTCGCCGGCGGACGGTATATTGCTCAGCGTAAGCTCGGTTGGGGACAGTTCTCCACCGTTTGGCTTGCTTACGATACTCAATCATCCGTACGTTTCTTCCTTCTGATCGTAGCATTTCATTGCGATTTTATTGTAAATGCGTTTAGTTTGCTATTTTTTATTTCTCTGTGAACAAGCATGCCCTCAAAATACTCACGAGCCTTTCTGTAAACGGTTTTGATTAGAGATCAGTGATCGCGGTGATCTGTTTTCCTGTTTTTGATTATTCATACATGTGACAAGATTGCTTTTCGTAGAACTATTGAGCAGTGATTATAAGAGCGGGTGTGCGAAATTCCAGACATGTAGTCTAAGCTGATTTAATTATGATATGGAAATTTAATCGATGATGATTTGATTTATCATTTTGAATGTATTAAATCTGCCTGGTGGCATCTGTTTAAATTTCATGGTGGATTTATACATTTGCAAGCTGCCTGCTTTACTATGTTTTTCCGAATTGAGATTTTTTGGGTGCTCTGATAACGAAGTTTCATTATTTAGCAATCACCAAAAGGGACAGTTTTCTCCCGCAATTTATCACTGCTATGACTACTTATAGTTAGGAGTATGAAATAGACCGATTTTGTATCACCCTTCAATTCGAATTAGCCGAAGCAATGTCTCCTTGCATACTACAGATTCCAAACATTCATGATCTGGATGTGAATGAGCCGAATAGATGTTGGTGTTTAGGCCTGATATTTGCTGCCAAACATGGTCTATGGGAGTTGGGAATCTGCAAGTTGTTTCTTTTATGAAACTGAATGTATTTGTCAAGATAATTCCTATTCTGTTGATAGTTGGTTTAGCCAAATTTTTGTATTTGTTGTGCTCAGGGGCTTCTAAAAGTGGAGATCTTTAATGTCTAAACTTGCCTCGTACGAGTTTACTACATAGTAACTTCTCTTGTCTCAATTAGCAAAGAAGAGCACCCACAGGGTTTTCCTGTTTCGCATGAGGTTTGCTAGGTTGTTGCGTGCTGATATTAGTTTCTGTTTGATCTTCTCTTCGCAGGGTTATGTTGCTTTGAAGATCCAAAAGAGTGCTCCGCAATTTGCTCAAGCTGCTCTACATGAAATCGAAATTCTTTCTGCTATTGCCGAGGGTGACCCTTCGAATAGCAAATATGTTATACGGTTGATAGACCAGTTTAAGCACACGGGACCTAATGGACAGCATTTGTGCATGGTTCTGGAATTTCTTGGTGATAGCTTGTTGAGGCTTATCAAATATAATCGCTATAAAGGACTTGAGTTGAACAAAGTTAGGGAAATATGCAAGTACATCTTAACTGGTCTTGATTACCTTCATAGGGAGCTTGGACTTATACATACGGACCTGAAGCCTGAAAATATTCTGCTGTGTTCAACCATAAATCCTTCAAAAGACCCTATAAAATCAGGCACGGCACCAATTCTCGAGAGGCCCGAGGGGAATATAAATGGAGGGGCTGGAATTAGTCTTATTGAAAAGAAGCTGAAACAAAGGGCACGGAGAGCAGTGGCTAGAATTTCAGAAAGAAGAGCTTCGATGGGTGGAATAGGGACAGTTCCGAAACCAGATAGATGCCTGGATGGGATTGACTTGAGATGTAAAGTTGTCGATTTCGGAAATGCTTGTTGGGCTGATAAGCAGTTTGCGGATGAAATTCAAACAAGACAATACAGAGCGCCTGAAGTTATACTTAGATCAGGATATTCTTTTTCTACTGATATGTGGTCATTTGCTTGTACTGCATTTGAGCTTGCTACAGGTGAGATGTTGTTTACTCCGAAGGATGGACAGGGGTTCGGTGAGGATGAGGTAATAATTTTTTATGTTTCAGTTGTTGTTTTTTCTGACAGATAAATAGGATTTGATTTCCTTTTGATGTTAAAAAGAGAATGAGAGCAGCCAGATGAAAGTTTTTCCGTGGCTCGTGATCAACAATTTGTTATCATATTCAATTGTTTCTTATCTTTATTTAATGTGGTCATGTTTCTTTGAGTTTGTAGCCATCAGGAATATGATCTGCCATTTGGGATTGATTGTGAATTATCTTTGGATGCAAACAGGACCACCTTGCATTGATGATGGAACTCCTTGGCAAGATGCCCAAGAAGGTGATAATTTTGTACTGTCTCCTCCTTTTTCCTGTAAGAAAAAATATAGTAGTATTGAGAAACCTGATGGTTTAATTGATTTGTGATATTATTGAGCCAGATTGCGACTGGTGGGGCTCGTTCAAAGGATTATTTTGATAGATATGGAGATTTGAAGAGAATCCGAAGGCTAAAATACTGTGCACTTGATCGAGTACTTGTCGATAAGTATAAATTTTCTAAATCAGATGCTCAAGAATTTGCACAGTTCCTTGTTCCCCTGTTTGATTTTGAACCTGAGAAGAGACCAACTGCTGAGCAGTGTTTACAACACCCGTGGCTTAATAGTGAAAATCTCATTCAGAATGAGGTGCAAGGTGAACACAGCATCGAAAAAGTCAATGTAGGGATGAGGAACCTCCAGATTAAGGTGGGTAAGTGATGTAGACTTGGGGATTGGTGATGGCATGTTTGTAGTCCCACTTTATACCCCTGTATCCACCCCTCTGATCGTCTTTTTGTGCTTTTTATTGGAAATTTTGAAGTTGTAACTCTCTGTTCTTTTATTAACCAAGATGTAATATAGTAACTGGTTATCTAATGCCTCGAAGAAATGATATTCGTGACAAGTGATTGAACTCGATGCTGCCTTACATAGTGTCTTGGAGTTTCAATGGGTTATGACCCTCACTTCTCAATTGGGTTCTTAGTCTGTTGTTGATGTGGCTCAGCACAATTTTAAAGCCCAGAAAACTAGGAGTTGCTTTGCTTCATTTGAGACCGCTTCAAGAACAAAGGAAGCTGAATAGTGACTTCATAACAGCAGATTATTATGACAGATATTTTCTAGACCGGTAGCGGTAGAAGTTCCCTCCTCTTTGGAGAATGTTATGAAGAGGAATTTGTGAGAGATGGAAGAGAACTTGCTAGTAGCTATCCATTGTGTGTGAAGGAAATTGATTTGTCTGACCTGAAGTGAACCTCTTGGAGTAAGTCATTGGTCTCAATGTGTATCTTTGAGAATTGAGATTATACGTTGTAACTAAAAGTTTTGCAAAAAATATTGATGATTATGTATCATTGTTCATTAGTGAACTTTTTGTTGTTAATATTTTGTTCATCCAGAAGCAGAATTCCATTTGGATGGTAGCTACAAGCCATTGATATTTCGCTGCACTCTGAAGTCTAACCAAGTGAAGCATTGGGGGTTTTTTTTTTTTGAAGAAAAGTGAAGCATTGGTTGATAATTAAGACAAGAGAAGACTAGTGCAATTTGTTGAATACATTTGAATAAGTTAGCTGACGTTTCCTAGCTTCAAAAGCCCACTATGTAAAGGTAATATCCGAGAAAAAATATCGTGAGATTTTAATTTCAGGGAGAAAAAAAGATGGTTGAGTATATAAGCAAAATAAAAATTTTGTACTATCGTTTACAATGAATGAATGATGTTCATGGTGATGTATTTTTGGGGATTTTATCTACACAATATATATTGGTATTAAATTGTTTGGTCGGGGGTTGAGGCAGAAACTGAAGTGTCAAAAGAAACGGAGACATTCTGCCTTGTGGGTTGAAACATTACTTTTTAGTTTAGCCGCCCCCGGGAAACCGCCGTTTCGGAGGTTGAAGTGTCAAATCTAAACTCAAATGGGTGAATTTTATTCTGGAATGTGGATGATGTTGTAATCTTCCCCGGTGCAACTGTTCCGTACGAACCTTTTTCTGACTAGCAAAATTTGGTCGTGGTAATAAATTATTTAAAACAACGGATGAGAGAGTTTGAAGTAGTAGATTATTTAATATTAAAAAATTTATTTTGAATGAAAATGAAGAGTGTCTTCGCGGGAATTTATTTATTTATTACTGTAATTTTTGTGAGAAGGAATATCATCACTCTTCTTTTTTTTAATTAATATATTGACTATTATTACTTGGATAGGAATTTTCTACAAAAAGAAATTCCAAAAACAAGTACCTAAGGCCAAACCCCAATAGTGTTTTTATTTTGAGTGGACTGAAGCATATGTAGTAGTTGAACCGTGAACATGACTCACAAGAGTTAATAATTAAATGATAAGAGATGCCCGTCAACAGACCCATCATAGCCCTTGGGGAGACTCTGAATTACATACCACCATTTTTCTTTTTTGGTTAATTACCGGCATTTTTTCATTTGTTTAAAAAACTGGAAGCATTTTTCACATTTTCATTTGATAGATCCCTACTTTTGTCAAGCGTAAGAGAATCAAATCACAATGTAGTTACAGGCTTACAGCTAATAAGATTCTACAAAATTTCACGGTTCTTTATTTTCTTTTTCATTTTTTTTTTGGGTTTACACGGTTCTCCTAGGTATGTTGCGGGTTTTCTGTCATTTCACAACAAAACATATGAACAAAAAAAAGTATAGTATGGTAAAATAAAGATGAATACTACTAGCATCCAGTGTTGCTCCATTATCGAGGAAGATGCTAAATGTCGGAAGCTAGTATCTACGAAGCATCCATTTACTCCCTTCTATTTACCTAAAAGACTAAAATGTCCAAATGGTCCTTTACATTTTGGTCTACTTGAATTTACGTCCCTTACATTAACATTTCAATATCGTAGTTCCAAACAATATGTTTTCACACTTTTTGGTCTCATTTTAATGTTTCCAGCCGTTGACATACCGGAATCAAGGGTATTTTTATCTTTCAATTTAATTTAAATTTTTATTAAAATTTAAATCATTAAAAATATTTTAAAATTCAATTTCATTATTTAATTGTTAAAATATTATTTATTAATTAAAAATATTATTGTACAATTTTAAAATTTATCATTATTTTTAAAATTACTTTTTTATTTACTATTTAGTATAAGTACATAGTAAATAGTAATTATGTTGCACTTTTAACTTTGGGCCCACTGTAACTTAAAAAATTAACCAAGTTATAGTAAATAATTCAAAATTCAATTATTTTTTTTTAAAAAAGAAAAATAAAAAGCAAAACAAGATTTTTTTTACTCTGACCGCTACAGTAAATCCTAAATAGTAATTATGTTACACTCTTAACCTTGTACCCACTGCAATTTAAAAAATATACCGAGTTACAGTAAATAATTCAATTTTTTTTTTAAAAAAAAGAAAAGGTAAAACCACGATTTTTTTTTTACTCTGACCGCTATAGTAAACCCTAAATAGTAATTATGTTGCACTTTTAACCTTGGACCTACTGTAATTTAAAAAATTTACCGAGTTACAGTAAATAATTCAAAATTCAATTTTTTTTTCTAAAAAAACGGAAAAATCAAGATTTTTTTTACTCTGACCGCTACGTTGTTTTTTTAACGTTGGACCTACAATAACTTAAAAAATTGATCGAGTTATAGTAAATAATTCAAAATTTAATTTTTTTAAAAAAATAAAAAAGTAAAACAAAGTAATTGACCGCTACAGTAAACCCTTATGTTGCACTTTTAACCTCGGACCCAATGTAACTTAAAAAATTTGCCGAGTTACAGTAAATAATTCAAAATTTAATTTTTTTTACTTTGACTGCTACAGTTGACTTTTGAATTATTTACTATAACTCGGCAAATTTTTTAAGTTATAGTGGGTCTAAGGTTAAAAGTGTAACATAATTACCATTTAGGGTTTACTATAGCGGTCAGAGTAAAAAAAAAATAGTTTGGCTTTTTCTTTTTTTTTTTAAAAAAAATTGAATTTTGAATTATTTACTGTAACTCGATAAATTTTTAAGTTACAGTGAGTCCAAGGTTAAAAGTGCAACATAATTACTATTTACTTTGACCTAAAATAAATGATAAACGAAAAATTAATTTTGAAAATAATGTAAATTTTAAAATTTTATAATAATATTTTTAATTAATAAATAATATTTTAATAATTAAATAATGAAATCTAAATTTTAAAATATTTTTACTGATTTAAATTTTTATTAATTAAATTAAATTAAAAGACAAAAATACCTCTGATTCCGGAATGTCAACAGCCGAAAATAGTGAAATGGGACAAAAAAAGTGTGAAAACATAATGTTTAGGACTACGATATTGAAATGTTAATGTAAGGGACGTAAATTCAAGTAAGCACAAATATAAGGGGCCATTTGGACATTTTAGTCTACCTAAAAACATTGCAAACTTGGATCCAATCAAGCTTTCATTTTCAGGCACCAAAAAGAAAAAAAAAGGCTGTTGTAACAGTATCGTCCTAACAACTAACTGCCATCAATTCCCAACGTTGGTACAATTTCAGTAATAACTAAGCCCGAGGAACCTCCTGTTTAGGTAGATTGACCTTTATAGGATCAGGGATGTCAGAACTGAACAATATATAATATACTACATGATGTAACAGAATCAAAGCAAAAGAATGCTTTTGTAATCTGGCACTAAATGTGAAACATATTTCCTCCTTTTTTTCACTTGGTAAATGTGACTTTTTAATTTTCTCATCTAAACTCATTTTAATGGAGTATATAAATGACCATTCATGTAGGCCCCAAATTGAATTATGTGGCAAAACTCAAAAGAGTAGTAAAGTAGTACATCCGGAGCCAGAAGATTACAAAGCAGGGAAAACCATTCACAACCTCCTTGTTACATTTGCTAGGTGATGATACCATCTCCTCGTTCCTGCGTGATTTTTAGGAAAAAAAAAAAAAGAAGAAGTAAAATTAGTGAAATGGTGTAATTATTGGAGGAAGAAACCCAAAACATGTTGTTTAGGACATAAACAACTCTTCACCTGGAACAGATCATTAAGCTGGATAAGTAAGGTTGAACTGATCCTTTTACATGATTGCTTCAACTAGCCACATAACCAGGGAGGAAGGAAGAGAGTAACAACAACAAAGCAGCGTATTTGCCCATCATTCCTCTCAAGCAATTATGACAAATAGAATCTGTCTATACAGTAAAATTTCCCATGAATGAATGTATCTCCAGCAGAGATGAGAAACAGCCCGTCAAACGTATACAAAACCCTGCATCGATCCCTTTCTTGCAAGCTATGGTGCTGAACCGAGACATAGGCAAATACCAATGCTGGTACGGAGTTCATAAGCAAGCAATTTGAGTTCAATATACATAGAAGTCACTTTAAATCATACAATGCCATAGACAATCAAAAATACTGGAAAAAAGGGGGACAGGTGGTGACGAACAAAATCTACAGATAAAGCCTGAATCAAAATAACTAACACAACTCGCAACTCCTAGAATAGCAGCCGCCTGTTGTTGAAATTGGATATGAACACTATGACTGCATCACTTTATTTTGTTTAACACAAGCGGGAGCCTTGAATGCCTGACACTTCCACATTGCTGTTCTCTCAACGGGCACGCCAGTCTCACCAGGAGGCCCTACAGAATACATGGATTTACCAGTGCCGTTAATTTTTTTCCTTTCATTATCAGTCACCAGCAGTGTTCTAGGGTCCTCCTTAGGGGTTCCTAGATCCTTAATGCTACAAATACTCAAAGGCAACTTCTTTTGCTTAATCCTCATCTTCTTTTTACTAAGGCCAGAATCATCGTCTTCCCCGATTTTCTCCCCCAATCGATCACTATCTGCTTCTCCATTTTCCTTAATTAGATTGTCAGATTCATTAAGTTTCAACCTCTCCCCACTTTCCAATTTCTGTCCATCAGGTCTACTGAACTTTGGTAAGTTTAAATCTACTTTCTCCACATACGCAGCAGCTTGGGCAGAACCATCACGAGCCATGCCACCAGCTATGCCGTTACTGTTGCTTGAGGAAGACTGATGCCCTTGCAAATCTGTACCAACATAGTTAACTGATGCCTTCTCAAAAGAAGATGCGCTTTTCAGCTTCTTATGCTTGTGATGCTTGGATTCAGAAGCAGTCTTTGAAATTCTTGGGGAGCTATTAATGGCCTGATGTAACTTGCGGGCTAACTCTTCATCCGTTTTGGGAACTTGCGTCCCCTTGGCCTTATCATACAAAGTTTGAACCTCCACCTGCTTCTTCATCTTATTCTTTTTCAAGTATTTATCACCATTTGCAATCTCTTCTACGGCAGCAACCAATTCAATAGCAATCTTTGCAGCAGCCACAGCCTTTGCTGCTTTTGTAGCTTTCTCTTCAGCTGTGGCTCTGGCAGCTTGTGCTACCTTAGCAGCGTCTGCAGCAGCCGATCTCGATGACTCCACAATCTCCTCATACGATAAATTAGGGTGAGACTTCATAAAATTACTATAGCGGGCATCAAAGTCAGTCCCACTATTACTGGAACTAGTCGGAGTCCGTGGATTCACATCTGAGTTCTGCCTTTTCAAACCAGCAAGAAGTCTCTTTCGAGGTGGTAAAAGCACATCTGCATCTAAGTGATTGACATCACTAGTATTGGTTTCCATTTCTCTCTACATCTGCTAAAGAACTGATCGCTCAACAGCATTCACTCTACAAACAGAAATCAAAATCACATCTTTAGCACAAAACTCAAAATCCCACCTCACCGCTAATTTCCAAAACCCACATCAGATTTTGTAAAAATAACCCTAAATTCATCATCTACACAATCCCCAAATCCGCCACCAGATCAAAATTCAACAGCATCACAGGAATCCAATACAGCCAAAAAAGGAAAATGAAAAATTCAACCTTCCAAATTAAACCCAAACAAGATTCAAACCCAAGCTAGGATGCCAAATTTCCAATAATTACAGCATATAACAATCAATACCATCCAAAAAACCACAATTCAGGTAATTCATAACTTGATTCAACAGAATTATTCAAATCTAATCAAAGCTTACATTACATGTGCCTGTGCACAATCTTATATATCATTCAAATGAGGTAAAGTAAGCAACAATTGATTGCAATGAGAATCAAATGAAGGTGAAATACCTGATTCTTCATGTTTGAAGGAGAAGAGAGAAAGAGTTGAATTAGGGTTTTTAGAGAGAGGTGCAGAGAAAGATGAATGAAAAATGGTCTGTGTTAAAACCAGTTTTTCTTTTCTTATTTCCTTTTTCTTTTTTCTATATTTTTCTTTTTTTTTTAAGAGAGAAAGAGACAGACAGAGAGAATTTTATTTTGAAGATCATATTTCGATTGGCTCCTATTTCAGAAAACCCTCAAAACGAAATTTCCCTGTAAAAAAAAAAAAAAAACGTAACCTCGATTTTCCTTTTGATCGAAATTACCTCATTGCCACTCTTCTTGATTAATATTGGTCAATCTTCTTTATATTGGTTGGATTAGTTCAATTGTCATTCTCTAATTAAATCAGTAGGCCTAACTATGATTCGGTTTTTGAAAAATAGCCATTACTAAAATTTAGGTCATTATATATAACAATGTTAAAAATTTTGATATAGAATACAATTTTATTATTGTTCTAACAAAAAAAAATGCTTCAAAAAACATTTTAATATAGTGGTTGACAAGGATACATTATTAGTTATTATTATTGTTATTAATACCATTGTTGAGGAGGTGCAATATTTGGGGCCAAATTTCGTTAAATAAACTTATTTTGGATTAAATATTGTTAGTATATTTGAAATGAGTGTTATTGCAATGGTGAAGGGGGACGAGGAAGTTTGCGGTGTCCATGCGGGAATGATTCAAGGTATTCGTGAGCTGATGAGTCGGAATTGGTTGGTGGAGCTTGATCATGTGTATTTTTTGACTGACTATTTAACATTTTTAGCGTCACATAGTCCTATTGATCTGCAAAGACTTGATTCACCATCTTCGAGAGCTAGACCTTGGTTACAACATGACATTATAGGGGTTGCATACCCCAAAAACGTACGCATTTAGGCAGGAGCCTCTCTTATTGTAAAAAAAAAAAAAAAGAAAAGAAATGAGAAACATGTATTTAATTCCTTTGCCAACTAGAGACTAGACAGGGTACTAAGTTATTAAAAAATAATTTATAAAATATATTATATACTATCCAAAAAACAATACCATAAAGTATAAATGGAATTACAGAAAGGTAGACAAGTATTAGATATTGCCATTCTCTCAATTTGGTATATATATAATTAATTGAACCATGTTAAAATTGCTTTAAAAGGGTAAATAATTGCAAAATACGAGTATTCACCATATCATCATATTGAATGGGAATTTATTTAAATTCGTGTGCACCAATTTATTTTGTTGAAAAAAAAAGAAAAATGGATGAGAAATTATTATGGGAAAGGATTGTAGATAATACTGCGAAAATGACGTCTAAAAAATCATAAACCACTGTTTAGTTTCTCAAGTAAATCAGATACAAAAACCGTTGGGGCTATTTACGTAACTTCCAGTGCTAACTACAAAAAAATTTCACTCACAAGTGGCCTTTTCATGAGAGTTTGAGAAAAGGCATAAAAAATAGTTGGGAGGTGAAAAATAAAACAACGAAAAACCAGAAATGACAGAATTACCCGGCGGGCACGGAATCCAGATCACAGTTGCACGTTGCCCGAAGGAGACTTTCTTACACAGCAATTGCGGTCCGATAGAGATTCCACGTGTGACTCGGCACGGACACCCACAAGTGACGTTATCATTCTTTGCCTTAAGCTCCACAGCGGGGCCCACCCCAACTAACCCACAATTTATACACTTAAATTAAATTATATCCGTGCCATATAATAAGTATATTGAATACTTATTATTATGTAAAAAATACTTATTAATAAATATACTTTTTTAATCTGACCGACTTATCTCAACTTCCAACCGGCGAACCCCGCCATTTCCCCAGTTCAAATCCCTCATTCCTTCGTATGGTGGCGTAAGGCAAAAGCTAGCTCGAATATACACAGTGCGGAGTAAAAAGCCCTGATATAAGAACCCTAGTTTCGTTTATTATCCCCAAAAGATAATTTGGGTTTTGTGTTGTGTTGTGTTATAACTGCTGTTTTCTTCATTTGCCCTAAACCCCAAATCGGATTTTCGCGCCATTTTGATTGGGGCTCTCGTTCGTCTTTATGGTAAGCCAATGAGAGCGTATTATCTCGATTGTGCTCTTTGATTTTAATGGTATGTCGAATCTTGATTCGTTTGTGCTTTTTTTATGTTCTGGGTTTCAGTTTTGGGTGGCAAATGAGGAGAATTGAGCCGTTGCCGGAGCGTGTTCGGAGTACCGTGCGTTCTGGGATTATTTTGTATGACTTGGCTAGGGTCGTGGAAGAGCTGGTGTTCAACAGTCTCGATGCTGGAGCCACAAAGGTAATCCTCTATTTCTGGGTGAGATGAATTTGGTTATCATTATAATTTCATTTGGCTCCAGATTGGATATATTTCTAAATTGTTGGTGTGGGGCGGAAGAGAAACTGCAACTTTTATAGACTTCTTTATCAACTGATCCTAGATCCTAGATGGGTTAGAAAAATTAAGAGTCCAACCTCTCCGAGATGGGTTATCAAAGATAAATTAAGACTGGAACTAGGAAATCTGCTGTTAGTTATGGAATGGCATTAATTTACGGGAAATATATTCACATACTAATAAGGAAACTAGAAAAGACACATAAAATGGGGACTTCCCCCCTCTACCTCTCAAAAATTGAGTTGTGGTTTGGATGCTTGATTGTAGGCCCATCTGATAGCCGTATAAGCCAATGCAAAGGGCTTTAGAACTTTTCGTAACATTCTCCTTTAGCCTGCATGCAGTTCTGTTGTAGAATGTCTAAGTTGGATATTTTCAATGTATTCAGATCTTGTTACGCCGAATACAGCAACTTTGATGTCTTTATTGTGTTACTTTAGTTGAAAAAGTATGTGGCTTGATCTGGATTATTTGAAAGTTTAATTTGTAACTCTGTTAATTCTATGGTTACATCAGGTCTCGGTTGCGGTGGGTGTTGCAACAAGCTTTGTGAAAGTATCAGACAATGGTTAGTATTGCTGTATTGGAATTAAAGTTTTCTAGATGAGCAATGGTTAGTAGCAATGCCATCTTGAATTAAAGTTTTCTAGATGAGCAATACTATGCATCTTTCAAATGCCATATGAGCATTCAAAGTTCATTAATTTAATGCTGAAGGTCAACTATTATAAGCAATTCAATTATGCAATGCATTATTTTGTAGGGTCTGGTATTGATCGCGAAGGACTTCTACTCTTGGGAGAAAGATATGGTGATTACTTCTTTCAACAACTTTTCTTATTTCAAATCATTTTACTATTGCCTATTAATGTCCCTAGATGTATGTGCTGTGTGCTTCTTGTAGTCCATTTGATTGAAAATTTTAGCAACATGTTTTCAAACGTAAGAGTACAAGAATGGCAAGTGGCAGTCTTTCTTTGTTATCAATTTGACAGCAGTGTCTAGTTTTAGAGAGGATATAGTAAATGGGGGCTGTCTAAATATCTTGTTACACTTGCTTTTCTAATGTGCTCACTAACTGTTTGATCACTTTATCTATTTTGGTGGATAAGTAACTTCAAAACGCAATCAATTGGCTGATCTGAGCAGCAACAGTGGATTTGGGTTCCGTGGAGAAGCACTGTGCTCTATTTCTGATGTTTCTGTGTTAGAAATAGTTTCAAAAGTCCAGGGCATGCCACATGGATATCGAAAGGTGATGAAGGTACAACATTTTCCATAATTTTGTTAAAATTTTATGGTTGATATCGTTTAAGATATTTCTGCAGAACCATTGCTGTTGATACTGTACGGCTTTGTAGGGCTGCAAGTGCCTGTACCTTGGAATCAGTGACGATAGGCATGATGCAGGTACTACAGGTAATGTGTTTTTTGAAAAAGGTTGTCTTGTCTAACTAGTTAGTTGACTTTTTCTGGTCAACGTAAGATGTGGTTTTTTTACCCCTCAAGCCATTCTTAGAGAGAAGAACATTAAAGAGTGGTTAAAGAACTACACAATTACCAACAATCTTTGATTTGTTTAATTATTGGCACCAAGTTTAAACTGCTGGATAACACAGGACATTCAAGATGCACATGGTGATGTTTGTTGTTTTTCTAGGAAGCATTTTGATGAGGATAGAGGTGAAAAACTGCTTTATTTGGCATTATGTTGTAATTCGTCAGATTGTTTGCTCTTTTGAGATCCAGTTGTTACCACATTTAGTTCTCTGAAAAAATATGAAAAATTATTACTGTCAAATAATGGGTCATGGGAGGAAGAACGAGGAGTTCTTGCAGTTTCCATGGGTAACTTTTGGTCCAATAAGCTGTTGAAACTTGACATTGCATTCTTGTCTTTGTAGTCATTGTTCGTGATTTGTTTTACAATCAACCAGTTCGGAGAAAGCATATGCAATCCAGGTATCTGGAGGTTCTTCTTTTTTATGCTAAAATGCTTGATATATTCAAGATGAAGTTATGCTGAACGCGTAATCCTGTTACTGATCTTAATAATTTATGATTTTACTGGAAGCCCCAAGAAGGTCCTACATCTGACCAGGGAATGCGTGCTGCGAATTGCGCTGGTGCACTCCAGGGTTTCCTTCAAAGTGATCGATGCTGAGAGGTTTCTTTTGGAGACTTAGTAACTTGTGTTTAGTTTCAATTGATACACTTACATTCTATTCTTGGTTGCAGTCAGGATGAACTGCTTGGAACATCTTCTTCCTCTTGTTCTCTGTCATTACTGTCTTCTAATTTTGGCATTCAAGGTGCATCATCTCTTTACGAACTTAACGCCTCTAAAGGAGAACTCAGGCTTTCGGGATACCTTTCTGGTCCCTCGGGCGTTTTGTCTCTCAAGGTATTAATCGCCAGGCTACTCAGTACTTACTTTTGGAAGCTTTTACATGTTGCATTTTTGGACTGATATACATTTCTAACTCTTGGATATCTCAATCTTGCAGGCTCTCCAGTATATATGTATCCATGTCATCGCTCATTTTTGATCATGTATAAAGCTGATAATTGGGTGAATTTTTGGGTATTTAGAGAACAAACCATTTTATGGATGTGTTGCCTTTTGACTTCAATAAAACAGATATCAACTCAAGGTTTGTCTGCAAGGGACCAATACATAAGTTGCTGAATCAGTTGGCTGCTGTTTATTTGGATGATAAGGCACATAATGCTCATGGACAGATTGAGAAGCCTTGTAGTAGATCTTTGGCATGCCCCTCATTCATACTGAACCTCTCTTGCCCAAGATCTCATTATGATGTAACCTTTGAGCCTTTAAAGAATTCTGTTGAATTCGAGGTATCAATTGTTTTACTATGCTTGTTTAGCTGTTATTCGTGTAACACGATCTACTCCAATTCAATTACTTTTTTTGGATTCTTGTGGCAAGATTTTGCACATAAGCAGAAATGGTATTTGTTATCTTAGCTTGTGAAAGAAGACCTTTTGAACATTTGGCCAAGATCTCATCATCTAACATGTAACTTTTTTTTCTTCGTTTTCCTCTTCTTCCTGCAGGATTGGTGTCCTGTCCTGAGATTCATTCAGGACACAGTCTCCCACTTTTGGAGTGAAAATGTCTCTGATGGTAAGTGTTGATTCTTTTGTGGAGTCTGTATCCTACAGGCTACAATTTTAAGATTCTGCCGAACTATATTCGCTTAATCTATAGAGAGATCTGCCAGGTCTTTTATTTTCTATTTTTCAAATAAAATTTTCCTTTTGTTTCTGTTCATCAGGCAAAGTTAATATATGGTCGTCATAGAACTATATATTCAGTTTTCACAATTAGATTGATAAAACCTGTATTCTATATATTGCAACTTCTTACGGTGCTGCATATGGTTTTTCTTCCACTGAATGCTCATTTTCTTTCCCTGTATATTTTCTGGGTTTCTGAGATAAGCTTTGTTTAAAGATTTGCCAGAGTATCGTGAAATCAAGAGAAAGAAGAGTAGGACCCATCAGGAGCAAGCTCCTGTTCAGGTGCCCATTTTACCATCAGAGAAGCTTGTTGAAGACGGCAATAGTTTGCCTCCCCTAAAAGCGAGTTCCTCTTCATATCCAATGTCCAGTGAAGATGCTTCTGATGTGAAAAAGCCCTTGGATGATCCCTTTTTAGTCGAAGGAGCTTACCGTGGTCTTGGTTTAAATGATATGTCGCCGTTTTCATGTGAAGTGACAACAAATCAAATGAGTCACAATGCTGATTTTGCATCTAGTAAACCGTACTCTAATGAAGACAATTATGTGTTGAAAGAGTTATCTATGAAAGATTCCAGATGTAAGCAAGTAGACTTCTCCCTAGAGTCAGAATGGCGGAATGCTTCTCTCGAAATGAAGGACCAGAGTACTTTCCCAATTAGGACAACACGGTGTGCAAATTTTCATGAATTTGTAAATGCTGACCAGGTTTTTGCAAAACCATCTTTACTGAGTCACTCAAAGGGAATGCGCCTGCAAGATTTGGGTTCGTCATTTCGTGGTCACGCAGGAATGGAGTTTGTCAATGCTGACTTCAATAAGCAGACAATGTGGTTTGACATCGGTGAGGAAGTTGACGTTGGAGACCAAGTTGTTATGGACCAGATCGCTATCCCAATTAGGAATACACTATTTCCTAGTTTTCATGAATATGCTGATGTTGCAAATGCTAACCAGGTTTCTGCAAAACCATCTCAATCGAGTCACTTAAAGGAAAAGCTCCTGCAAGATATTGGGCTGCCATGTACAGGTGAAGGAGTAATGGAGTTTAGCAATGTTGATTTCAGCTTGCAGACAAAGTGTGTTGATCTTGGTGTGGAAGTTGATGCCGGAGACCAAGTTGATATGGGCCTGATCATTGAGCAAAGTCAGCCTAGGCATGATGTTGCCAAACCTTTGTGGTGGTTGTCAAGGTGCTCTAATCAACATGACAAAATTTTGAAATCTAAGCCATTGTCACATGATATGAGGACAAACTTAACTGCTGGAGAGTGGTCAGATGAAGAAAACTATCATGAGTCTCATTCACATAAACGTAGCAAAATATTAGATTCTATGAGCCTGTCTTCTATTTCTGAATGGTCGCAAAGGATGCCAAATTACTTATCTGACCAGATTCTTGATACTGATAAGTTTATTGGCGGGGATGTACATTTTGAAGCTGGAATTAGTTCTGGGTATGGCTGTTTTCGAGATGATAACGAAGATAAATACCACAAATCTGATTGTGACGATTGGCTAGGTGCAGAATGTACTGATTTCTCTGATTGCAAGTATTATGCTAGTCTTCAGGAAGATATTGGTGAAGTTGGAGGTTATAATCTCGCAAATCCATGCTTATCAAAATGTTCTGATCTATTTTCTGATGAAGTGAATCAGGTGTGTATGAATGCAGACAAAAGTAAAGTTCAGAATACTTCAAATGCCTCTTGTCACAAGTCTGTATCAACTCAGTTAGACAGGAATAAGATTGGAATGATCAAAATAAGGAATAAAGAATCTCAGTATCAAAAGACAGAAGCAAGGAGAAGCAATTCAGCTCCACCAGTTTACAAGGGCCGGAGAAAATTTTTGGATCTTCATTCACTCAAAATAGAAGCACAACAAAGTGATTCCGTTGACACAAATTCCCCAGGTGCTGTCATTGACATTTTTTTCTGAATCAAGACTTGAAGCTGAAAGAGAATAGCAAACGTAACTGAGAACTTCTTTATTGTGTAGAAACTGGCAACATTAGGCATGAGTCCAGAGCATTTGATGAGAGGCACTTTTTTTCGAAAGAGATTTATGTGAATGATTCTTTGTGTGTTCCCAGGTTAACCATGCCTTATTATTCTTTTATAATATATACAAGATTTTGATTTCAATGAGTAACAATCATTGCCCGAGATTAAAATGTTAGTAACAACCATTGCCTGTTTGACCTCTTTCAGGCTGGAAAATGAAGGATTTCAACAGAATGGTCAGTGCATCAATAGCAGCTTTCCAAATCAACATGAAGGTCAGTGACTTATTATGAGAATGCTGTATACAGTTGCTGCTATATTTTGAAAGTCCATGTACTCATGATTGATCTTCTAGTATAACATCATTCCCCGAACAAGTAACTGGACTTGGGTAATTGATTGATCACAAGCCTATGATACCTTTTCCTTCAGATACCATGTCAAAGGAAAATCAAGATAATTCCAAATTTGACCTGAAGTGGCGGAAAGATTGTCAACTATCTATTGTGAGTTCTGTCACTCTGGCAGTTCCTTTCCTTCTTTAAAGCCATCAACTTCTTTTTTGATGCTTTTTCTCTTTTCTTCTCTTTCTTAGGGTGGAGGTGGTATTAAGGATTTATCTGTTATACAAGGAGTAATGAAGTCACGAAATGCTGGAGATCATGATACCATACTTGATGTCTTATCTGGGACTTTGCACTTTGCTGGTGATTCATTGGTTCCAACTTCTATCAGCAAGACATGCCTCCGAGATGCAAAAGTTCTCCAGCAAGTTGACAAGAAATTCATTCCAGTTGTGGCTGGAAATATACTTGCCATTATTGACCAAGTAAGTTTTTGATGGGTTTATATATTGTTGATATTTCTCATTTGATTAGTTATCACATCAAATTTGTGCGTAATTTTTGTCCTATTAGCTTCGTTATTTCAGTTTGTGTATGTCTGAAGTTGATGCACATCAGAAGTAGTGTAACATAGATAAAGCTGTATAAATTATTCTAAAATGCGCTTTAGGTTGTGCAAATTTGTAATCCATGTAAAAACATATACTTCTCCACCACCTGTATATTGCTTATCTGGATTCATGTTGATAGTTGAGTGTTCTTTTCTTGGTTAAACAGCATGCTGCAGATGAAAGAATCCGACTGGAAGAGCTTCGACAGAAGGTAAATTGAATTCATGTTTGATTTCCTTTCCATCCTATATATAAGTATGGCTTATTTATTGAGAAATTTGTAGGTATTGTCTGGAGAGATGAAGCAAATCACCTATCTTGAAGCTGAGAAAGAATTAGTACGTCCATTTTGAAACTGTAGTCCTTGAATGCAATATAAACTGATATAATTAAATAGAGTTCCCCAATTATTTGATGCATATTCATATTGTCTCAAACATCATCACAGGTGGTCCCTGAAATTGGTTACCAATTGTTGCACAGCTATGTTGAACAAATCCGAGATTGGGGTTGGATTTGTGACATCCATGGTCCAGGCTCTAGGTCCTTTGCGAAGTAAATGCAATAATCATTGTTTTTCAGCAGAGTTTTTCATTTGCGTGCCCATTTTCCATCAAACATGTCGTTTTACTCTTTAGATAGAATTAAAATTCTAAAGATTTTCCAGTTCCTAACTACTCTATGCAAGTTTTCTTATCAGGTTCGGTGAGCCTTTGAGATTGATGGCTAATTCAGCTCAGTCTATCTACTTCTTCTTTATGCAGGAAGATGAATGTACTGCACAAACAGCAAACTGTTGCTAAACTTGTCGCTGTAAGTTCCCAATTATGGCTAGTATTTGTCTGTAACTGTCTGCTTGAGAAGTGTTTTGATAAGAGTAACTGGACTCCATCAATATTATATGAATAATACTGAGATGAGCACCTTGATCTTTTAAAACTTCAAATTCCAAAAATTCCAAACAAATTTGTTGGATTTTGTTTTTCTTGTTTGTGATTATGTTTGCACCTTGGTTTACATCTCGAACTGAAGTACGTCCATTGTTTCCACAGGTACCTTGTATTTTAGGAGTGAATTTGACAGATACGGATCTGTTAGAATTTCTTCAACAGGTAGTCAGTCAGTTTTTTTGCTTTAAAATATTTCCTCGATATTCTTCTTGGATATTTGGTTCTATCTTCAAACTTGCTTGTCCCTGCTTCCTTTCAGTTAATCGCACCTAAATCTAGCTTTCTTTGTTGCATCACAGCTTGCTGATACAGATGGATCATCGACTATTCCACCTTCAGTTCTTCGAATCCTAAATAACAAGGCGTGCAGGGGTATGATTCTGAACATAAATGCTGATTGAGTGTTATCTCTGTTTTGAACGTATATGATAGTCATTCATGGAAATGCTGTCGAGTTGTGGACAGTTTGCTAGAAGTGTATTGTTGCGTCTTTAACTGCATTAAGTATAAGCTCCTTCAATTTCCCCCCTCATCAATACTGCTGTAAATAAAAGGAAGATGACCAGAAAGAGAGAGGAACTTTTTCGGACTGATTCTTCTCTCTTCTTTATTTCTTTGTTTTTTTTGTTTTGTTTTTTTTGACAAAACTTTATTTCTTTGTTTGAAATTAGGTGCAATTATGTTTGGCGACACATTGCTGCCTTCAGAATGTTCACTTATTGTGGAAGAGCTGAAGAAGACTTCATTGTGTTTTCAAGTAAGTGGAGAATAGTGCATAGCTGGTCGAAATTATTATTAATCTATTGATGAAATCACTGATTCCGAACCTGTCTACCAGTGTGCTCATGGGAGGCCAACTACGGTTCCTCTTGTCAACCTGGATGTCTTGCACAAGCAGATTGATAAGCTCGCACTACGTGGAAAGGGTTCACAGCAGCTGTGGCATGGTCTTAGAAGGCAGGAAATCAGCTTAGAGCGTGCAGCATCTCGCTTGAGCACGGCTATGATATAGTATATGAACATCTTTTGGATTTGTAGATAACCAGAGGAAAAAAAAGAGCCCATGTATAGTGCTAATGAGCGTTGTATATCATTCTACAGTGTACAACTCTTTAACCCTTACACCATTCTTGAACTGCACTTTTTGCAACTACTCCAAGGTGTAAATATTCAACTGATTTTACACAGAAATATACGTACACAGCAATAGCTTCATCCTTCCACATTGTCTACTAGAGAGACCCGATGTAATATAAATCTGTATTGCCAACAGCTCAAGAACAAGTGTTACATTTTCTTCAATCTAGCTTATAAAATCTGGAAGGGGCAGACCAAGTAGACAGCTTTATCTCTCACTAGATTATAACAGTATTTAACCAAAACTGGTAAAGAGAGAGTCTAAAGAAACTGATAATTTTGTACAATCAAATACTGAGGAAACTAGCGTATAATTACTTTTTCTGTACATGCTAACAAAGAAGAATCTAAAAACTAGTACAATTTGCAGAAGTTTGTAACTAGTTTATCCCTTCACCTACAAAGTATGGAATTTGGGCAATTGCTTAAGGAATCCAGAAAATACATAACTCGGGCACTTAACTAATGCTTGTTGTTTCATCAAAATCAACAGCAGCACATAAAGCCCTCCAGATGGGGACTAACATCTTAACAGGAGGATATAGTTCCTGAAAATGAAATCAAGTTGGTGACAACTGAGAAAGCTGACATACAGTAAACAAAACTAACTAGCATCTGAGCCTTTGCTGGCAATGGGTGCATAGGAGCTGTTACCTTAAAAACCAACAAGAGTTCTTCCTCTCCTCGTATAATCAGGGCTAGACTCCAGTAACAAGTAACTGGAGTCACGCATTCATTTAGCACAGGTTTCAAGATCTTGCTAACAGGAACAAAGCGCCGAATTGATCTCCCACTGTTTAAAAATTGTGGTTCAACTCAGATAAGAGATAAGAGATCAGAGGAAATCACTTCTGATGCTTTGCTGACAACATTAGAGTATGGCTCTTTTTCCAGGGCCATATGACTTTGACGCAATACTGGAAAAGAAAGATCAATCACAAACATGTCAAGATAAGAACGTACCTTCTGTACTGAGTCTCAAGCTGAACACCAAAAGATGGAAAGATGGTAACGGACTCTGTCATACAAAATAAACGAGTAAGCAATGGCACCCAAGATAATTGGTCATTCTTTAGACAATAAATTTAAGAACCTGTATTCAAAGGACATACAAACGAACAAAGAAACGTGTCAACAAGTCATGACAAAAATCCCACGAAACGGTTAGTAAGATTTAATTAATATAAATTGCTATGTAATACTCAGAAGCATTTTTCCCTCCAAATGCAGTGTTATTTCACTTCTAAGAAAAGCTTACTAGAACCGATTACCCTAAACTCGACATCCATTTGTTCATCTTAAAACTAGGACAATACTGGAGTTCGCACGAGAAACAAGATTGAACACTGTATAACTAGACCTCACACAATGCTAATGGAAACACCCAACTTGATCATTATAATAAAACTGAGGCAGAGGGAAAAACTCAGCACACAATGCTCAAAATACAAAAGAACTAAGTGACGTAAATAAAATACAATGCTCAAACTCAGCACACAATGTAAGGACCCGAGAATCTCTCACCTTTCTTAACCAGCTTCTGTGATAGAAACCTAGTGATGAGTGCAATCAGAAAAACACTCCATCCTAGAACAGAGAGTAATTTGCCCTGAATTTGTACATCTTCATCATGTTAGAATCAGGCATTCCAGAAGAAATTAAACAGGCCGATGAAGAGCTTTAAAGGAAACCCGCAAATAAACGTTTTCACATTTCAACAAACACGTAACAAACAAACTATACCGCTATGAGCAAGACAACAAATCTTATACGGAAAGAACAAAATTTACAGCTACGTCGAAATTTCAGTTTGTCCTCCATTTCATGAATGCAAAACAATTCCACAATTATACCCTAAATCCAAAAGAGCTGAACCAAAAAAAAAAAAAAACAAAAAAAGAAAGAAAGCATGCAGCTTTAATGAAGAAGATCATATAAGCCCAACCTGTTGAAGAAGAAGGAATAACCATGGACTAGCCAATAGCAGCAGAGCTAAAAAGCAGAAGAATAAGACCCTTTTTGGATAACTCTTGACCACAATGTGATGGACGTCTATGGCTTCAGGTGGGCCTTTCTGGGTATCATGTATATATGTGTACTCTACCATTGGAAATTGGATTGACCCAAAGTAAAATCACTCATTTTTGCCACATTTTTTAGCAACGGGGATCGTCGTCGGCGGCGGCGGATCCTGGGGGAATCGTCTTGTCGGGAACGGCGGAGGAAAGCAAAAAAAAAACAAATTCGCGCGGATGACCGGATTCGAAATCGGGTAGGCTAGTAGTAGGTCTTCTCTCCTCCAGACTTACACATCTAATCGCCTAAGTCTTATAAGAATTGTATTAAAAAAAAAAAAAAGTCATTGACTTGTATATAAACCTCCAGCCCAAACACTGTGGTTGCCCGGATGATGGAGGTGGGCTTAGGGCACACATTCACTGAAGGAACTAAGTCGGGTCCAACTTGGCTGACTTTATAAGAGAATCCTGGACCAAATTGTCTGACCCAGGGCTTTGCTTCTGGGTCTCGGTGAATGACGAATGCCGTCGGAGCCGGGCTCCAGAACGTAGCGCCATTGTCTTGAGTCTTGACGGTTATCGTGGAGGAAAAAAAAAAAAAACAAGAGGTTTTTGCACTATGATGTATTCTCACTTCTCATCATTCATTCATCAAGTTTTGCAGTTTTTTTTTCCTTGGGGTATCAAGAAAAAAAAATAAAAATAAAAATATTTTTGCAAAATAGTATATCCTTCATTCTTCCTACCTCAATTTTTATTTCATTATATATATATATATATATATATATATATATATATATATATATATTTCTCCATCATCAGTCATCTAAAACTCATCCTTGAAGGAAATTAATATGAGCAGATTTACGGGGATGTTTTTGCAAAATAGTGTAAACATATTTCTAATTTGTTACCATCTTCATCAGAGATTAAACGTATGTGCCAGTTTAAGAAATGTTAACAAATTAGGACTGAGTCCTTCAAATGATGGCCTACATTATGCAAAACTTAAAAGCTCTTTAGCTTTCTTACTAGGTTTTTGGTCTAAAACGGTATAAAACCAACCACCTTGAGACATCCCTGGTGGCTGGTATGCTTATCACTCTCTATCAAGAATGCCTACACTTTCATGGCCGATTAGCAACCGTGGCAACCGCAGCGAAGATTTTTTATCCGTAGTTACACATGCTATAGTTTTTTTTTTTTTTCTTTTTGAAAATGGTACATGCTATAGTGATAGTTGCTGATTATCTGAAGAAAAATGACGTTAACAACAAGAAGCAATTATCATAATGCTAGAAGAAATATAACTTGAAAATTACTAGAAAACAAGAACTGTGACTGTCCATCTCTAACCATTCAAGGAATGGAAAACACTGCATCTTCCCGTTTCCAAGATGGAAAGCATAAGGGAATCTCATCAGCACTAGACTATGAGGTTGTGAATAGGTACAGCAGAGTGTAATACTTTAAAGTTCCAGATACAACTTTGTCTAAACACAAAATGATCAACAGCAAGTTGAGGACAAAATCATATTAGCCTGTCATGTGGAAATCTTCAGACTGCAGGTAAGGGTTGTAGCTGTCTGGGACCTCCATCTTCCCAAGTAAATGCTCCATTCCTGCATTCATTGGATGGATTTTTTAAACATGCTCATCAGAGGTTCAACTAGTGAGCATTAAACACGCGACTACGGGTTAGTCACTATAGATCAGATACTTGTTATATCTCCCTCTGTCACTGTCGAGTCGACAAATGACGTCGTTTACCACAGTAAGAACACATGAATGAAGTAGGCAAGAATCATCTATATCTATATGATATCATTGTCTCTGACAACATCTAAGATACGTTTGTTATATCATTCTTGAGTTCCTCTCAGATCCAAATGCTGCTAGCAAGATCTCATTTTTAACTTTTAACCAACAGTTATAAACCCTTTTATATCTCAAATACTACCACCACAAAAAGCAAATAATGAAAACTTCAAAGTAAACATCCAATGAAATTATGGTGTGGCCTACATCATTAAATGCAATAACTATTGAAATATTGCACTTTATGGAGAGTTGTTGGAGATATTGTCCTTTTGAATAAGCCACAATGTTCGGTACCGTATGATTTTTCTGGGGGTATCACCAATCTGAAAACGATTGGATTTCTGAAAGTTGTGGCATGAGGCATTAAACAAATTGAAATTTTCATTCAAACTAAAATGTGTGCAACTGGTTGGCAGTCCAAAATGCCATAGGCCTCATATTAGAAATGTGACAAGGTATTTCATCTGATAGAAGCTAATTTTTGATGTATCCCATTCTAGAAAAATGACCAGCGTGCAGGTAACAATTGCTTAGATATTTGTCTATTCGTCATGCCACATGATCAGGAGCAACATTTAAAGACTTAAAGTCCTAACCATGATGTTTACTTGCAGACCTAAGAGATAAAATCATATCCAAACAAAGAGGCAAGAAATGATGACAAAATTCAGGAATGCAGTCAATGATTCCAGTGATATGTACACAATCAAGATTAAGAAGGTTGATTAGTAGGTGCAATTAGAAGACTGAATAAACAGAATTTCTTGATGGATGAGCAAGCAGAACCAGTCCCAGGATCTCAAACAGACACACTTAGTCCAACAGAAAATATTTGTTCCCTTATATGCCAATTACTCTAAAATAAGAAAGGAAGTCGAAGGAACTACACACCTGGATTTGATAACATACTCCCGTAGAAGGCCATCTGGGAGAAACTACCAGCAGCCTTCGAACTTCCTTCTGAAGGAAACACAGGTTCTGCTTTACTGCTTCTTGGGTCAATGGCAAACATCCCCGAGCTTACATCAGGGTTCTGGTAGCAGAGATCCTCATTCCTCGAAGATGCAATGTGTTGAGATTGTAAATCCTCTGGCTTAGTCTTTTTATCATTGGGAGATTCAACTTCTGTCTCCACTTCAGACTCCACATTGTTAGATGCTGCAGCTTGTTGCTTTCTTTTTGATCGGGCACGCCTATTCTGAAACCAGTTATACACATTCGTTTCAGAGATTTGACCATGTTGTGACAACTCGGCAGTAATCTCTTTTATCTTCTGCTTTGATGGAGCACCATTCCCTTGATCAAATATGCGCTCAAGAATCTGAAGCTGGACAGGTGTTGGAGTCCAACGCTGTCTACCAGTAATCTTATGGCCAGCAGAGGTGATTAAAGGGTCACAGTACAGATTGCCCAGTCTGGCGCCTGAAACAAGAGGAACAAAATTCTGTTTAGGAATAATGGAATCAGCAAAATAAATAAAATAACTGGAACTTTGCTTTGCTAAAAATTAAACGGTAGAGCAGAGAATAGTACGATTTTGAATCTTTCCTCCGAATCAAATAGAAGTGCAGACAGATTGAATTTTTAAGAGCACAAGTCTGCGTCAACTGAAGAGCAGAATCGGCAAAAAGAAGCCTAATAACTCAAACATTAGGTGTTCATCATCCTCACTGAGCATTCAATGCTAGGAAGAAGTGTAATGAGTTTCTGAATTCATCCTTAAAATCAATTTAGGTCAGACGATCCATTTTCAACCTTAGTATATTCAAACCAACATCAGGTATTCTGCTACATCAAAGAAAGTTCAGAAGATAGACGATTTAATTGGTAAGCAAGAGAGATAAATTACAGAATAAGCAGTTCCCCACATTACTTCCAATAGTGTCCAATGCCTTAACAGGCACACACTGCTCAGAGATCACATGTTTAGACAAAGTTTCATGAAAGTTTATAGGCCCTTGCAGTTGCTGCGGAGCCTGCTAGTCAGCTAGAATAACTGTAGAGAAACTAAAGTGAAGAAAATTGACTCTCATTCATATATTGACAGCAGATCTGATGACATACTAGTCCATACCAACCTGATCACCATTTTGGCAGCCAAACTATCCTATGGCAAAGGTAAATGTGCTATGACTATTGAAAAGGGACTATCCAAAAGAGTGAATTACAGTGTAAGCAGGTAATTTCTGTACGTTCTGATTTAATCCTCACAGAATGACCAGAAGGATGGCTCTGACAATTTCTAAGTCTAACTGAGTGCCACCATTGAAGAATTCATTGAAGGTTGAAAAATTACTACTACAATGAAAAGGAAAAAAAAAAAAAAAAAGTCAAACAGAAAGCAGGAAATTTGGTGAGGAGCACTTAATTAAGTTCCAAAAACTTTGACCAAGTAGAGTAGGAATACTGGGAAATGTGAACCCTGTGAAGTTAGACTCTGCGGAAATGGTACAATTATCAAAAGTTGTACTCTTTTTTAAGCTACTAACCAGTAAACCACACCATCCTTGAACCAACTCATGGTATACCAAGAGCAAAACCAAAAACAACAGAAAAATTCTTTAAAAGCAACAAGAAAAGCTAAAAGAAGTAGTATCAGGAACATTACAAACAAAATTCAGCAAAAAAGACATGATCTTTCACAACACCCCCCTTAAATCAAAATTGAGCAAGACAACAAAAGGGTCGTATGTTTTCCACATCCCAATTCACAAAATCAGAAGTTTGTTCAGGAAAAAGAACATATGAATTACCCTGACATTCACAGAGTAAAAAAGATCATAATAAAGGGACTGCAAAAAAAAAAAAAAAGAAAAGAAAAGGAACCTGCAAGATCATGATGGGAAGTGAGAGATTTGTGCATATCAACAAGTTGCTCACAAATGGTGGCATAAACCGCAATTTGCTTACGAAGAACTTCCATCTGTTCATCAGTCATGACTTTCACAAACATCCCTCCATTATTATTCCCATTGAGCTCTTCAGTACCAGAAATTGTAGTAGTTGTTGGTGGAGGCTGAGGAGGCTGTTGTTGTTTATCCCACTCCATAATCTGATAAATCCCTTCTGAAATTTACTTCAATTATGAACAGACATTTACATTTGGCAAAGAAAACAGAGAAACAGAATCAGGGACTCTGTAGCCTATAGATTTTGGCTTGAATTGAGTCAAGAAAAGAAAGAGAGTCTAGTCAGTAGTGATGGGGTAGACAAAAGGTAACGAGAAAGTAAAGGAAAAGAAAATTTGGACCATAATAAAGACACGACTTGGACGTGTTTTCCCTTTTCTTTTTATTTGGAAAAAAAAGAAGAATGGTCATTTCAATTAATATATTTAATTATTTAATTCCTCTCCGACTACAGAGAAAAGACGGCTACTTGCTTATATTTCTATAGTGTTTTTTTTGGGGATGTGATTTATTTTTGGACAAGTTATAGATATGCCTCTGATTTACTCATTATTATTTAGATCTACACCCGAATAATCACCCCCAAAACTCTTTTCACAGTTTTTATGGTATAAAAAAAAATACCCCATAGCAAAGAAAAGAAAGATGATGAGTCATGACTAATAGTATAAATAGAATATAATGACATTAAATGTAGTTAAAGTTTCCTTTTTTGAAAAAAAAGAAAGAAAATGGAGTTAATTTAACCTAGAAATTAGACCGACAAAGGGCTCAAGATTGAACAAGATTTCCTTGTGCTTATTTTTTGCTTCGGCAATACATAAAAAAAAAAAAATGGAAGTGCAAACTTCACATTTTATGTTAATGTTATGGTACAACACGGTTAATACGTAGAGTTGATTGTTTGAATATGTAAATGATAGTTGTTGCACTCGAAATATATTAACACAAACAAGGCATTGTTATTATTGAACATGTGTGTATTTCAAATAATAAATTGAATGACATCGAATAAAAATCATAGAAAATCGTATATGTAATTTTTAGCGTTAAAAATAAAAAAGGGTAAAGAATTCGACAGGAATAGAATGAAAGTGACAAGTTTTATATATTCTGAAACAGTTCTTTGTAGAGAATATTAGTGGTGCGATTGGGAAATTGTTCTTCCTTATTATAGATGAGCACTTTAAGAATTTTTATGAATTTCACCCTAGAAAAAGTAATATAGAGTTGATCATGTGTTGCACGCGATGTGCGGATACTATTGTATATAATTGTTAGTTCTATTAATTTGCATTAAAATTTACATTAGCAATATTCAATGTGCAAAAAAGTTACAGATACTCTGATATACCGGTGCTCATAAGGCATGTCCATTTCAACGTTGAAAGATACCTTGAAAGATGATGTATTGTAGAGTAATGAAATGTAAATCATACATTTGAACGTTCGATCATACATTTGGAAGATGAACCCGTGTATTGGTATACTATTGATCATAATGTTGGTGGTGGGATCGAGAAATTGTTCTTCCTTATTATAGATGAGGCTCATGAGCACTTTTAAGACCTTTTCTAGATTTTACCCTTGGAAAAAGTAACATAGAGTTGACCATGTGTTGTACGCGATATGCAGATGCTATTGCGCATAATTATTAATTCTATTAATTTGCATTAAAATTTACATCGACAATATTCAGAATATGCGTAAAATCAAACTTTAATTCGATCAATAGTATAGTACAAAAAAGTTTTCTTATAAACAAAGTGATAACAAATTAGTTTGAATCTATATTGGGTTAATTAAATAACGCATGTCCTTAAAATTATTTTATATATATGTGTGTATGCGTGAGATTTGAGAATAAAGTAAATAATATAATAAAATTCTGATACTAACAAAAAATTTGTGATTTTACTTATCAAAACTTAAAAGATTTCAGAAGAAAAATTTATAAACACTTATATTTGTGTTAAAAATTATTATATTTTTAGTTGGAACTTACCAAATGATCCCTTTCCTCTTCTCAATTTCGTAATAAACCATTCCTAATTGATCTCTTTTATTGAATTGCTATTGAACATATCTAATAATTAAAACAAATTACATGCATTTTTTTATATCCGCAAAAAATCATTCATTTTAAATTTGTGTTAAAAAATTATTTTTAAACAGACATTTCCAAATGTTTCCCGTTCCAATTCATCTTGTAATAAACCCTTCCCAAATGGTTCTATTTATTAAAATACTATCGAGCATATCTAGTAATTGAAACAAACCAAACATACGTTTTCTATATCCATAAAAAAAACATATATTTTATATTTGTATTAAAATTTTTTTTACTTTTGACTGACCTTTCCAAATGATCCCATTCTAGTTCATCTTGCAATAAACTTTTTCCAAATTATCCCTTTATTAAAGTACTATTAAGATATCTAGTAATTGAAACAAATCAGATATGAATTTTAGATAACCATAAAAATTATATATTTTATTTTGTGTTAAAATTTGTTTATATTTAGTTAGACATTTCCAAATGATCCCGTTCTAATTCATCTTGTAATAAACACTTCTCAATGACCCGTTTATTGATATACACTCTATATTGTCTAACAAAGGATTCAGAACGAAGATTCATCCCGAGCATTCCTTCGTAAAAATCCGCATCTTTTAGAGTCTTATGCTGAACGGAGGAATCGCACCCAACATTCATATTTTATAACAGAGTTTCGGAGAAGAATGAAGCCGAATCTGACGCATAATATCCTCTCACTTGCGTGCCATCAGCATACCCCGCAAAAAATGGGAGCCGTTGCACCCCAAATATTTTGGCCTAAAGCTAGAAGAGCTAGATGGATCAAACGATTGGAGCTTGCAAATGTCGCAAGGTTTGCAGTTGAGGCAAGTCGAACTCGCCCCAGTATCGACTAAGAAGGGGATGGTTGTTTTTTGCGATCCAATGTGCAAAAAAGTTACAGATACTCTGATATACCGATGCCCATAAGGCAGGTCCATTTCAACGTTGAAAGATGCCTTGTGTCACGGACAGTTTTTCTTCACCACGAATTCGGGTGGTTTGATGCGAAACGGGCTATTTTCGTAGACGGACATGGGACGGAACGGTCTAGAGCCTTGTGGAATTCTCCAGTCAAATCTTGAAGACTCTGGAATTTTCTAGAGAGGCCCGGAACTCTCTAGAAACGAGTGGAACCGTGTGGAAGCTACCCGAGTTTGCTAGAACCGTGTGGAAGATTCTAGAGACTTGTAGATATTTTGAACTTAGAATATTTTATTGTAGGAATTCTCTAGAATCCCATTATTTTATTATGTACATAGAATTCTCTAGAATTCTTTAGGACTTGGGGTTTGCCTATAAATACCCCATGCCCCCTTCATTTGTAATCATCCAAGCTTTGAGTAGAGTTCTCAAGCATTCCTAAGCTCTCTTGTGCCTTCATCATTCTTTCACTTTCAACCTTTCTTAAGGTTTTCTTTGCCTCCGTTCTTTAAAGTCTCGCCTAGCTTTGCACGCTTTGGGGGTCTTAAGGCTGAGCTAGCACTTGATCGTTAGTTGTTTTGTGCTAGTGCCGCACGGCCGTTACTTTGAAAAAGTAAGCCCGTGACAGTTGGTATCAGAGCCTCGGCTCGATACTTGGTGTGCTACATCGTCTACGCTTCCGTTTGTCGGTTTTCTTTCGTGCATAAGCTATGTCCAACCCTTCGGAGGTCGTTCAAGGGTCGGAGCTTGAGGGGGATCACGTTTCCCGCGAGGTGGGGAGGACCACCCGCAAAGGAAACCGCAAGGAGAAGTCGGTCGTTAGGGAGCCGATGGTGGAATTTGAGAAACGGCTTGCCAAGCTAGAGCTTGCGTGGCCGACCACCAAGACCGTTGGGACGAGCACCCCGAGGTGGTAGCAGGGGTCGTCGAAGCTCGCATGGAGCGATTCGCAGGGGAATTGCAAGAGGTCATGCAGCAAATGAAGGACGACATGCTAGGGACGCTCAACGAAATGGTGGAACGTTGCAACAAGTCGAAGGAGGAAAGCCTTGCTCGTGTTGCCGCCCTCCAAGACGACGTCAACCGGCTTATGGGGAGCCGGAGACTTCTCGGGCAGAATCGGCGCGTCTTAAGGCACGGCTTGACGCCGTGGCCGTGCAAGGACAACCGGAGCCGTGGGGACGGTTCCAAGGCTCGAGGCGCCCAAGCCGGACGAATATAAGGGCAGCCGTCGCTTGAGGGACGTAGAGAACTTTCTACAGCATGGAACGGTACTTTGGGGCTATGAATATCATGGACGACTCGGTAAGACTCTTCCAAGCTTCTCTTTATCTTAAAGATAGTGCTTTATCATGGTGGAAACGTATGATGAAACCCGTGGGGATGGAGACCCGGTCTTCACCACGTGGGATGGTTTTAAGGAAGAGCTTAGAAAGTATTTCCTACCGGTGGATGCGGAAGACGGCCGGGCCAAGCTTCGTCGCCCGCACCATAGGGAAGGCCAAATTCGGGAATACGTTAAGGAATTTTCGGACTTGATGCTTGAAATTCGGATCTCTCGCCCAAGGAGGCGTTCTTACTTTCATGGACGGTCTCAACCGTTGGGCCAAACTTGAGCTACAACGGAGAGAAGTCCAGACATCGATCGGGCGTTAAAGGTGGCCGAGTCGCTTGTTGAGTTCCAAAAGAAGGATAGCTCCAAGGACAAGGGCAAGAAGCCGTTCCAAGGCAAAGGTGGGGAGACAAAGGGAAGTCTTCCACCCGCTGGCCGGCAGCCGACTATACAAAGCCGTCTTCAAGCAAGGAGACCAAGGGGACAAGCCAAAGAAGTTTCAAGGGTGCTTCTTGTGCGGGGAGCGCACATGGCACGTGATTGCCCGTCTCGCTCGAAGTTGGCAGCATTGGCACAAGGTTTGTGCCAAGAAGAGGAGAAACGGTCGCTTGCATGAAACGGCTAGATGCCGTGCATGCCAAGGCCGAGACACGTCAAGGCCGTCTTTACATGGAGGCATCGTTCGCAAACGGTCTAGATGGGGCATGCTAGACACGGGGCCGACACGAGTTATCTCACGGAAGAGGTAGCCCGTTCGCTTGGCGTCAAGTGGACACCTAGCAAAGGCCGTTTCAAGGGCGTGAACGGTGAATGGACGGGTCTTGTAGGCGGCCTGTGGATGTGCCTCTTAAAATCGGCAATCGGTCGCACGGCTAATTTCTCCATTGCACCTATGGATGATTATGGTCTTGTGTTTGGCATGGAGTTTTTAGACCAGGTAAAGCCAATCATCGTGCCTAGCAACGACACGATGGTGATCCTCCAAGGCGAGAAGCCTTGTGTGGTAAAGTTTAGGCGGGAAAATGAGATTAGCCCTTCCC